GCCCAGGTAGAGAGAGAACCACTCGTGAGGCAGCCTTTCGTCCCTCCTCGACCAGAAGTCCCTCGACCACTACCCCACCCAGAACCAAACAATCCCCATCCCCATCTCCACCCAACACCCAGCAACCGCATTCGGAAACCCCTCGAAGGCGGCTGTTACATCTGCTATGAAGACTTCGAAAATCCCCAAGACGCCGTGTGGTGTCGAGTTTGTGGGCAGAATCTGCATGTAGATTGTTTCCGAGCTTGGACGGCGGGGAAACGATTCGAGGATGTCACTTGTGCCTTTTGGTATGTTTTTCTTTTCTTTCCTTTTTCCCTTTTCAAACCCCATGGTTGTGTGCTTGGCTGATTTTTCGTACCTGTAGTCGTGCGCGCTGGTTCGAGTGAGCGGCTGTGGTTGGATTTCTGAGGTTGTAGATGGGGGATACGGTATGATATTCATGACTTGGGGATGAAGAGAATCGGATGGGGGAAGAAGGAAAAAAGAAGAAGAAAAAACTTGGATTGTATGTAGATGAGCTTTTAGAAATCGACTTGTACTCGTACTCCTTTTGTGGACCTTGTCTTCAGCTATCTAATGCTGAGCTACCTAAATTGAGTTGTAAACACCGACATGCTCAACCTCCATGCCAACAGATCGCCCATCAATGGTAGCATTATTTGGGGGGCCGGGCCTATTATTCTAGTCAGCTAAGCTTGATCAATAAGATTTGCAGATACCTAGAATCTCTAAACTTCCCGAGTTTAGAAAAAGGGTCATCAAAACTCGCAAATCTGTCCGCATAAGGAATGCTCTGAGAAGTCACTTACCAATTTCCACCTACTGCAACATTCAAAAGCAAGTAATGTTCCTCATGCGCTAGCAAAGACCAAGTCTCCTCATCCCCAACCGTCGCGCCCGTGACATTGAAAACCTTCTCGCCGTCCAGATACCAATTCAGCGTCTCATCCTGCCAAGTGCCATTCTTGCCCCCGCCACACATACTCCGATCCACCAAAAACCCAACAGAATGAAAGGTACCCCTAGAGAATGAAACGCCGCCATTTCCAAGTCCATCATATTCATTACAAGGTCCTCCCGGAGCGTAACCGCAATGAATCGTGGAGAACATGGTCGACTGCCCGCTCACAACTTCCAAAATATCCCATTCAGTCACCATTGGCCAATTGCTATAATTGCCCCGGAATCTCGACCCCAGTGTCCAGAATGCCGGCCATATGCCCTGCTGCTGCTCCAATGGCGCATCCCCGAGTTTGATGCGGGCTTCAATCAGAAGCCTCCCCCCTGGGGCGGCGGCAAAAGAGGAATCTTGCGTCTCGATCCTGGCCGAGGTCCACAGTCCATTCTCAAGGCGTGGGATAATCTCCAGGTTCTGCTCTTGAGTGATGTGGATATTGTCGCGAGACTGGGTGTAGTTTTCGTGCTCGTTATTCCCCCAGTTCGGCGCGCCGCCTGGGTACTGTGTCCCGAGCGAGAACAGCCAGTTGGAGGATGAGGGTAGTGATCCGGGAGTCCCGGAGAAATCGTCAAAGAACACGGGGATGAAACCGGGGAGGCTGGCTTTGTTCAAAGCAGTACTCAAATGGCGAGGGTGTACATGTTGAAGTGCATGTACTTGAACGAGTGTGCATGCCGCGAGAATTGAAAAGAGTGACTTCATGGCAAGAACAATGGATTGAAAAGAGCGACGTGAGGAAGAGTGAGGAAATGAAAGAAAGAAAGACTGAAAGCTTGCATGACGGAAAAGATGTATTTTGTTCTCGCGAGGAAAGTGCTCATATTGTCTGAGTTCAGCCAAGTCCGAGGATCCCGGCCGGTCACATCGTACGGAGTACAAAGCTATGATAGATACGCGAAACAACTTAAAATAATGAGGCTCATATACTTTATTTTGACAGCAAATGTCATGCTACTCGAAGGGCTGAGGTGCGCTGCCGGCTGAATTGGAAAGAAATTTGGGCGCGAGGAGACGATTTGGCCGTGGCGAGTTCTCTGAAATGTACAAATGATTATACACGATCAATATGTCGTGAATCTTTAAGAGATCAACAGATGAGACACTGTGGGAATATCGCGATGTGGAGGTTGAGATATTGTAAGAAGTGTGGCATGAGCCAGCTATATACTCTTGGAGGCCTGAGGCCCCACATCCACATATATCGAGCTGAAGGGCAATAATTTATTTTGGGCAGTTGCGTCGCGTTCGATTGAGAGTACAGTAGCAGTTAAGAAGATGTACGATTGGAATGTCCATTCTTGAAGACTTCCAAGTGGAATTTAGACCTGCCAACAAGGTATCGAGATATCACGTTGAGAATGACAGCACTTAGCAGAAGTCCGTCGCCAGAACCCGCCCTTAGAAAGTTCTACGCGTGATCTAGACAGGTCAAGTTTGAAACTTCACACTACTGTGAAGCCCCACATAGCAGTTGATGGCTGCTCAAAGATATCAATGGCGCAAACTCTCTCTCTGCCAGAAGCTACGAATTCGATAGATGTAACAGATACGCTAAAATGCCAATTGCCTCAAGTCAACAAACCAACCTGATTACAGTAAGTACTTCAACCCGATATAATTTTAGATGTAATCATGTAATTAAGATTTCATGCAATTAAAGTTGATGCCACGTATTGCTAAACAAAAACAAAATTAAAGCTAGACGTCAGGTACCTAGGCGACCGAGGATGCGGAGTCAAATCAACCAAGATAATGAATTAAGTTAGAGTGATGCGTGCGAAGGATCTGTTCTTGACACAATACTTTGTGTCCTCTTTTCGCGGATCCTATCGCGATCAATCGCCTAGGCCTAGTCCAGGCTAAGAATAAACAGTAAACAAATTACGAAATGAAACCAATGAAACAACACTTATTTAGGTCCTCCTTGCGACGTGCGCGCAAATCTGATCAAAAACGCCAGATAAAAATAGCTGCCGAAAAGAATTAGGGCTTGGTGATTAGGTGCCTATAGCAGTTGGTGATGGTAACAGTTGCGAGTTGCGAGGTAAACAAACCACTACTATTGATACAAGTACATAGGTACATAATTTTCATTGTGATAGATATTCGAGGTGATACAATAAATACATCATGGTGCCCCTACCCTACCTTAACCCTACTCTACTCTTTGTTCAAATCTCCCTCCATCTCTGTTGGTCTCGTAGGGTTTCCAGCACCTCCCAGACTCGCCTGCTCCTTACCAAGGCCCTAAGTGCAAATCCAACAATTAGCATTCTTCCTTTCGGAATTCGTGCAGCGCAGTGAAATGCAGTGCAGTGCGAAGACAATAAATAGACTCACCTGCTGTGCGGGTTTGGTATGAGAAGGATTCATTTTATCGACGATCTTGTTCGTAATTCCTTGGATGCCCCCCTTCTGCTCGCGCTCTCCCAAATCCTTCTCAACATTGTCTCCGAGTCCTGCACTGGGACCTCCTCCGCTACCGTAACCTGTATTCGCTGTGTTGGACATTTTTCGTCGTTGGCCTGTCTGTTTGCTAGAGCCCGGCCGGGGTGAGATTTTAAGTCTGAGAATATGAAGTCAAGTTGAGCTAGGAAATACAGCAGCAATTCCAATTCAATTTCTTGACAGGATAGTATAAAGAAAAAGCTATAAGCAGTAGGAAACGCATGTATTATACAATTAATAAATAGGCATTGGCAGCGACACAATCAACCCCCACATTATGACGAAAGCACACTTTCTTGTTTAGATACGCGCTCCCTCGTGATTGGCATATGCATACTATCCTACTGGCTGTTGAAGTCGATCGCCGTGTTGTGTGCGGGGTCGATAATCAATAATTTGGAATCTCAGTTCTCACTCGAGATCTGGGAGATGTGGGAAATGTGACCCCGAACATTGAGCGAAGAAAGGCTGCTTCCAACTTTTGTTCGCTCTCGTCGGCGTATGAATGTGGCAGGCAGCTCGCTCGACATGGGGGGAGGGGCGTCAAATATCGCGGTTCTACTGTTGAAAGGGATTCCGCGGAGCTTTTGTGAAAAGTCTAGCTGTGGTGCTGCTGTCAAGGCGACTCCGGTTGTTAGGCAGACACAGTCGTTGACTCGTTCGCTGGTGGTGGTGGTGGTGGTCGGGTAAGTAATCCGGTTGTTACTGTATTACTCTTGCGAAACGAAAAAGTTTCACGACTCGACTCACGAGCCTTTTACATTGTAGACTGGACTGGACTGGGCTGCATGGATGCGTTGCTTCGTGCACAATCACTTTTCCAGTCAGCACCTTTATTAGGTACGGGTCATCGGCAAAATAACCCTGGATGAGGGCTTTCCGTGTTGATGCAGGCAGGTTGAGAGAATTTCCCGTATCGAGATCCGAGAATGATTGCAGAGTTTTCTTTCCCTCCGATCCCTCTCACCGAAATGCAGACTGTACAGTAGAGTACAGTAGAGTACAGTAGAGCTCACATCCCAACCTATCCAGGCTAATAATTCCATCCATCCCATCTTGAGCCTTTTGTTTTGTTTCGGACACGGCGGAGACCACAGGGTTGGAGCTGGCAGCCGCTGAGGTCAGATCCACATGCAACTGACTCCGTACTTGTGCAAGTTCGACGGGCTACCCGTAGGTTGTGCAAGTACATAGCCGTTTGTGCCATTTTGCCGAGCTTGGCGAGCGCACGTGAGGTCTGAAATTCCCTCATACAAAAGTCGTGTTGATGCTATGCCGCATAGCGGCACATCGGGAAGTCGGTGAAAATCAAGACTTCCAGCGACGACGCCATGAGACGCCGAGCGAGGGAGCGAGGCGCGATAAGTAAATTGTACGGAGGTACTCGAAGTATAATTACGCAACCCAGTAAAGCGTGCTGATGGTGCGCCAGTGGCCGTGACTAAACACGCCTGGTCGGCACAGTTACCCCCGTCCAAGACGCCGTCGCAGTCAAACAATAATCATTCCCTCCCCCCCCACTACGTTCATCTCTGGAGCTTGTCGAGCTTGTCTAAGTTGAAGTCTAACTCGTCTTGCCTCTTGGCCCTCTTGACTCTCTGCAAGCCTGCACGCTGATGATTATTATTATGATTGTTATTATCTAAGTCGTCCATGAGGCTACCACCGGTACTAAGCTTTTTCCCAGTGGGTCTTCTAGCTGACTCGCGTTAGATAGAGCCCCTTGTGTTCCGTCAGAACCGACCGGCAGCCAATCAGGAGACGCCAATTCACGAGCCTTTTGTTTTGTTTAATTCCGCATGGTGTGTGCAGGAGATGAACTGCAGCATGCCGAGGCAGGCCGAACCTTGACCGTATCGGGCCTACTCCGTAAAACGAAGCTATGGTAAAATACGGCAATTAGCTAGGGAGTTTCGCAACATTTTACGGAGAGTATCGTTTGTGGTCCTTCCTGATAGGTCAATGGCTGGGAGCTCCCAGAGGGATCGACTGGGGTTGTCACTGGCCCTGACAAGGTCTTAATCTACTTTTGCCGGGGATGCTCCACTGTCCACACCCCCCATTTTCCTGCGATTCCTAGCTCTTCTCCCACATTCCAGCCCGTCAAAACACGTTAACGGTGCAGCAGGTATAGGTGGGTAGGTAGGTTGGTACAGTAACAAGACAAGTCAGACTCGTAATTCACAGTAGTAAAACTAGCTATGCCCGGCGATTAATGTCATCCTGCGGCTGGTATCAGGAAGGAATAGTGCAAATCTCTCCAAGCTCATAGGGCCGTCGACGGACCCATAGGCCAAATTAGACCAATACTCGGCTACTGTCAGAAATGGCCAGTGCCGTCGAGTCCGAGCCAAATGACGCTGCGTTATCCTACCTCCCCCTACCTTTACCACCATCACCTCCTCCCCCCCCCCACCCCACCGAGATGCCGCTACCGCTGCTTTGTTGACGTGGGTGCTCCTAGCTAGATTCATCGCCCTAGTGCTCCGCTGAGATTTGTTTAAAAAAGGTTCCCTCCTCCCCAACTTGCCTTAACGACTCCCTTCCACTCTCCCTCTCCCTTCTCCTTGTCCGTTGGTGCTGCTGTGAAAGTTGACAATCTCCCCTCCCCTTAATACTTTGAGTGCAGAGCCACTGCTTCATTCACAATGGCACCATTAAACGGCGACGTCGAGAATGGCGACGTCGAAAAAGAGCTGCGCGGCAATCCTGAGCCCGCTGCCGACGAAAACATGGGTGAGTACGGAAACCTTGTGCGATACATCTCAACCTACAAGGACGGTCGAAGAGGTTCCACGGTGTCATCAATTGCCAATGACGAGGAGCCAAAGAAGAAGTTCTGGCAGAAAAAGTCCAAGGGCACCGACGGCGTCTTCGATACGCCAGACGAATGGCTCAACACCGACATGAAGCAGGGTCTCTCGGACCATGATGTGGAAACGCGTCGCAAGAAGACTGGATGGAACGAATTGACCACTGAACACACCAACCTCTTCATCCAGTTCTTGTCATACTTTCAAGGACCTATTCTCTATGGTAAGTCACTGCCGCTACTCTCGCCACGTACCTAAATTGATTGTGTCATTAGTCATGGAACTCGCTGTCCTCCTCGCTGCTGGTCTGCGTGAATGGATTGATCTCGGTGTCATTATTGGTATTCTAATGCTTAACGCTATCGTCGGTTGGTACCAAGAGAAGCAGGCAGCAGATGTTGTCGCCAGTCTTAAGGGTGATATCGCCATGCGAGCAACCGTTGTTCGTAATGGTCACGAGGAAGAAATCAAGGCCAGAGAACTCGTCCCTGGTGACATTGTGAGTTTTCCACGCACGACGTCGGTGATGGCAATTGCTAATTAGCAACAGATCGTTATCGAAGATGGTGAAGTCGTTCCAGCTGATTGTCGAATTATCTGCCAATACGACAACCCCAACGGTTACCAAGAATATATCCAAGAATTGAATGCTCAAATGGGCGACACCCACGAGGAAGCCGACGATGATGAAGAAGAGGGTGAGAAGCATGGATCTGGATATGCCATCCTCGCCATCGATCAATCTGCTATGACGGGAGAATCCCTCGCTGCCGACAAGTACATCACTGATGCTGTTTACTACACTACTGGTTGCAAGCGTGGCAAGGCCTTCGCCATCGTCACCCACTCTGCTAAGATGTCTTTCGTCGGTCGCACAGCTTCATTGGTTTCTGGCGCTCAAGATCAGGGACATTTCAAGGCTATCATGAACTCCATCGGTACGAGTTTGTTGGTTTTGGTCGTTGGCTGGATTCTCATTGCTTGGATCGGAGGTTTCTTCCATCACTTGGGCCTCGCGACTCCCGAATCTCACTCCACCACCTTGCTCCATTATGCGCTGATCTTGTTGGTCGTCGGTGTTCCCGTCGGTCTGCCTGTTGTCACAACGACCACTCTCGCAGTCGGTGCCGCTTATCTGGCCAAGGAGAAGGCTATCGTCCAAAAGCTTACTGCCATTGAGTCTCTTGCAGTAAGTCTATTTCACTATCCCTCTCATTTTCATGCTCTTGGGCATTATTTCAGGTGATCTTGAGCCGGTCCTCGCCAAGGAAAATGAACAACATCGCGATTCGCGCTGTGGGACTCGTGTTTAATTAATGGACCCACCTTGTGTTTTTTTCTGCGCCAAGTGGCTCCTTGCCAAGATTGCGCACATGTAGGCAGGGGCTTGTTAACCACCTGACTATCCCGGTCATGAGGATCAATTGTATGAACATGGAACAGTCTGAATATGTCGCTAACTCTATTGTTTTCAGGGTGTCGATGTTCTCTGCTCCGACAAAACCGGTACCCTCACTGCCAATCAATTGAGCATCCGCGACCCATATGTCGCAGAAGGCGTCGATGTCAACTGGATGATGGCTGTCGCTGCCCTTGCTTCTTCGCACAACATCAAGTCTCTGGATCCCATCGATAAAGTTACTATTCTCACTCTCAAGAGATACCCAAGGGCAAAGGAGATGCTTGCTGGTGGATGGAAGACGGACAAGTTCACTCCCTTCGACTCTGTCTCCAAGCGTATCACTGCCGAATGTCAAAAGGATGGCGTCAGATACATCTGTGCTAAGGGTGCTCCCAAGGCCATCTTGAACCTCAGCAACTGCTCCAAGGAAGTTGCCGATATGTACAAAGCCAAGACTACCGAATTTGCTCGTCGTGGTTTCAGATCTCTCGGTGTTGCTGTCAAGGAAGGTGACAACGACTGGCAATTATTGGGAATGCTGCCTATGTTCGATCCTCCTCGTGAAGATACCGCTGCCACCATTGCTGAAGCTCAAGTTCTCGGTCTCTCCGTTAAGATGCTTACTGGTGATGCCATTGCTATTGCCAAGGAAACTTGCAAGATGCTTGCCCTTGGTACTAAGGTTTACAACTCTGAACGTCTCATCCACGGTGGTCTTTCCGGTACTACTCAGCACGATCTCGTTGAGAAGGCTGATGGTTTCGCCGAAGTCTTCCCCGAGCACAAGTACCAGGTCGTCGAGATGTTGCAGCAACGTGGTCATCTGACTGCCATGACTGGTGATGGTGTCAACGACGCTCCCTCTTTGAAGAAGTCTGACTGCGGTATTGCTGTCGAAGGTGCTACCGAAGCTGCCCAGGCTGCTGCTGATATTGTTTTCCTCGCTCCCGGTCTTAACACCATTGTTTCTGCCATCAAGATCGCTCGTCAAATTTTCCAGCGTATGAAGGCATACATCCAGTACCGTATCGCTCTCTGTCTTCATTTGGAAATCTACCTCGTCACCTCCATGGTCATCATCAACGAGACTGTCCGTGCCGAGCTTATTGTTTTCCTTGCTCTCTTTGCTGATTTGGCCACCATCGCTGTCGCCTACGATAACGCTCATTTCGAAGCGCGCCCTGTCGAATGGCAATTGCCCAAGATCTGGGTCATCTCCGTTGTCCTCGGTATACTCCTTGCTCTCGGTACCTGGGTCATCCGTGGAGCAATGTTCCTGCCAGACGGCGGTATCATCGAGAACTTCGGTTCCATCCAGGGTATACTCTTCTTGGAGATCTCGCTCACTGAGAATTGGCTCATCTTCGTCACCCGTGGTGGCAACACCTGGCCTTCATGGCAACTCGTTGGGGCTATCTTCGTTGTCGATGTTCTGTCCACTCTCTTCTGTGTGTTCGGATGGCTCTGTGGCGGTGCTGGTGAAGCAAGTGACCCAGCTACACACAACAAGAACCTTTCGGACAACGGTCACACTTCTATCGTTACTGTCGTTATCGTCTGGGGATTCTCCATTGGTGTTACCATCGTCGTTGCCATCACCTACTACCTCCTCAACAACATCAAGTGGCTCGACAACCTTGGCCGCAACACCCGCAGCAAGGCGGATACCGACATGGAGAACATCATCAGCCATCTCTCCAAGATTGCTATCCAGCATGAGAAGTCTGAGCACATCGACCGCTGGGCCCTCGCACCCAAGGCTACTGAGGCCGAGGAGGATGATTAGATGCTCACTGTGACAGCTGCCTTTATATACGCTGTGAAAGTTGGTGCCTGGTGTTTTGAAATTATATACCGTTGTGCATACATTAATTCTCCTGTTGTCTTATAGAAGTTAGCATCAGGGTTGGGAAGTTGAGGGGTGTAATCGATACTTGGAGGGGAGGTGTCAAGGACATATAGAGATACCAAAATAAATTTTCTTTGTCACTACTTCTAGTCTTGACCTTGCGTGTGAGTGACAATGTGACATTGAGTCGTGGAAGAGACATCCAAAGCGCATCTTCCTCGTTGGATCCATGTCCTGTCGTGTCTAGGTAAACACGATGCATCTTGTGCGAGGTGGAGCGCGGTGGGGAAGTTCTGTGCTGTACTCCACTATGCTGTACTCCACTGTGCTGTACCTTACATCGTTTGCCAGGGCTTACAGACAGGCTCTAGGGATCTCGGGGTTTTTAGTGCTGCAAGCTGCTGCAGTGCGACATCATAAAGACCCTCCCTACAGTACAAGTATGTATAGTGATACAGGGTAGGTATGTAGAGTACATACATACATACATACAGTACGAGGTAGCAGGAAAGAACCAACGATTCTAGCCAGATGTGAAGTAAGTACTCGAATTACCCGGATACCTGGATACATGGATACGTGAGAAAGTATATCCTAGAAGAGAAGACGTGCTTAATTACCGATAGATAGGCAAGTGCTACTGTATCCCTGGGGACCTTACAGTACACCGCCTTTTCGAAGGATGGGGGTAGGATGGATGGGGTGGGCTCTGCTCCACATTGCATTGCCATGCAGAGTTGCCGTGGTACTCACTCGTACGCGCGAAGTAGAAGTAGAAGTAGAAAGACGTCCGGGAGAGAGATTGATAGAGAGGTAGGTAGGTAGGTATATAAATGATGGCCGGCGTTCGCGTTGGCGCGTTTGACAGATAGGTAGATAGATGAAGCAAGCAAAGACGCCTGCCTGCCTGCCTGCCTACAGTATCACTGGTTTGCGATTTGGACCTACTCGCTTTAGGCCTTCCTCCTGTCCATCCATCGTTCTTGTCCTGGTCCGAGGACAAGAAAGAGAGAAAGAGCGCTTTAGCTCGTCGATCTTTCCATCACAGCCTCATGTCGTCAAGAGTTGTGGTGTGTTGTGGTGACTTCGCGGCTTATGTCGAGAATCCTGCCTGTCTGCTTGCTTGACGACAAGTGCAAATCGGATGGATACTCTCGATAATGAATAGGAGCACTTTACTTGGTACAATTCTCCTGATTTCGATCGAGGCTTTTGGGAACTGTGGAAGGCATGGCATGGCATGGCGATTCTTGACAGAGGGAAGGAAGGAAGCATGGCCAGGAGATATAAATGTAAGAAAACAAAACATCAGCAAGCTGGACACACGAATTCTCGCAAAGTACTCGGTCGTTGATTGAAGCTGACAGGAAGGAGCGTCCTTGGAGGCTCAGTCCTGACGGCTTGGCTCGTTTCAGAAAGTGTAGTTCTGACGTGAGAATGGGATTTCCGTTACTTGCAGTCATTCAAAACTCAAAACTCAAATCTTTATAGCTTTGCTCGCTCGTGTAAACTAAACACTGACTTGTAATTGCATTTTGAGTGCTCATGTTCTTATTTAATCATATACTTTCTTGATGAAACTGGTACTTTGTTATACCGAGATAAGATAGTACCAAGTAAATACATAAGCGCTTCTAGAAAAGTACTGATCAACTAGATAGAAGCTACATTCGAAGTCTTGACTTGCTTTGCCGCCTTGCTGTCCGGATCCTCGGCCGCGTCTGACTCTATTGTATCACCTCCAAGCTCTTCTTCCGCTGCATCCGTATAAATCAGCGTCGTTGCAAAAGCGAGACGCTTCGGTCTACAAATAATCGTTAGCAAAAGAGTCGGAATCAGAAAGGAAATGTGGATAGAAATACAGCAAGTAGCGGATATCGATGAAGCGCAAAACACACGTCATGATGATAACCAACACCCATAGAGCGAGCGCGGATTGCCAGCCGTATTTATCTAGTCCGGTTGATTAGTGACTTAGTTCCCCAGAGGACTTTAGCGTTCATAACATACAGTATGGAGCCTGGACTGCAGGCCAAACTAAGACCTGCGACCAAGCTGAGACAGCATAATAGACTGCTACTGCGACTCCCACAATCAGGGATCGTGCCTCTGGATCTTGGGGGATTCTGTCGAAGATCAGCTTCTGTCGTGGGGTCATGATTGACTGCCAAGTAACTTACAGATCGGAGAGCCAGGAAAATATTAACGGGGCCGTTCCCAGTGTCAAGTAGCATATGAAGTAGCTAGCGTAGGCGGCCGAGAGCGCAACTGAAGTGGGATGGGAGGTCCAAATGCTCATGATGATGCAAGGGATGATTCCAATAACCGCTTGAGCTATAATGAGCGTCCAGCGAGTTTGAAGGTAATCCGAGAGCAGTGCCCAAACCCAAACTATATGAAGACTTAGATACCAGACAGCGACTGATGACCGAGTTCAGAAAGAACGTACCAAAGACAACATTGATAGCGCCACCTCCAATTGGAATTGCGTTCACATCCGAAGTACTCCATACCCTACTACCATCGGGGTGTTTGAGACTTTTCAGGAAGAGGTTGAAATACCCGTAACCGGCAGATCCCAGGACCGTGGCGGGATACAAGACGGCGATGAAGTACACGACCCATGTAGAAAACGTGCGCCTGTTCAAGTCAGCTTTGTCCTCACTTGAAGATGTTCAAGGATGATGCCATACTTTACACCAACCCAAGTCATCCTCTTCGGCTCAGCACGATTGTGGCGCTCTAACCGCTCCATGGCCATGGCAGCATGCTCCTTTTTGAACCAAAAAGCTCTTGGGTTCGGGTTATTTGGCAAATCGGGAATCATGAAAAAGCCAAGGACACCCCAAACCACGGTAATAATCGCATTGATGACAAACAACCATCTTTACACCTATTTTAGTTGAGAGTTATTCGCAAGGACGTCTTGAACTTACCTCCACCCAGCAAGACCAGTGCTCCCATCGAGTGTGTTTGTTATGGCCACCTGAAGCGCACCGGACATCATGCTACCCAAAGCCTGACACGAATGATAGAACCCCATGCGCTTCGCAAGTTCCAAAGGAGTATACCAATGCACTGCCCCAACAAGTTAGACTAGAGCCACGAAGGAATCTTAAGCACCGCAGCTTCTGAGGGCTCAAATGCACAAACAAGACAACTTACTAAACAAGGTTATCATGCCTGGCCATGCACTGCTTTCACATAACCCAAGGAAGACTCGAAGCACATAAACTTGCTTTGCATTGTGAGTGGTTGCGATGAGGCCCGTCATCAAACCCCATAGTATTTCAAGACTAGGAAGCCAATAACTCGGTCGGACGTAAGTCAAGATGATTTGGGAGGGTATGAGCATAATGCAATAAGCCACATTAAAATACGTCGTGAAACTGAACGCCAATTTGTTAGCTCTGAATTACCGGATCTGGGGGTTTCGCCTTACTAATTCAATTCATTGCCATAGAGATGAAGGTCTTCTTTCATCCCGGAGACGTAGGCATTACTGATGTTTTGCTGATCGAGGTACCTGTGAAATGAGTCCGATTGTCCTTATATTGGTGGGGAAAACCCACTTGATAACTGCAAAAAATGGCTTTTTAGTAAACGATGATCAGCTTATGTAGATGAGAAAAAGACAAACCTTGCGATATGCACCCGAATGTCATAAGAAAAATATCCAGTCGAAGAACCAAGCTCTTCTCAGCCGGACTTTTTTCATGCTTTTCTACTTTGGTCGACCTCCCAAACGACAACGACTTGAAGGACACCATTTTGCCAATTATCTCAAGGACACCACGGAAGTGTTTGGCGCAATAACATTTTCGTGGGTAACAAATATATACTTAGTTTTGTCGACCCCGTATCGTAACACTTAAAATCCCACTCTTTGATTGCCAAGAGATACTGTTTGATAGGCATGGCACGATCTTGTAGATCTATCAGGGCCCCCAGACGGCCAGCGGCCAAGTAAACCATGGGATTTTGCATGCAAATATAGAAGGCGATAATGAATGGCTGATAAGCAAACTAAAGGCCTACGCGTGGTGATATCGGTATGTTCGCATAGTGCCGAAACGTGACAAAATAGTAACTACATCGCCCGACACCTGTCAAATTTCAAGCAGCAACATAATAAATGGTGTTTCTGACCTGAAGATATTTTGCCACTCGCGGATAAAACCTAATATTACTTATCACTCGAAGTCAAGAGGTCATGATTGCATCAAATGATGACCTCAAAAGAGGCGTCAAGGCCTCAGGACCGATACCAAATCCATGTCTCTCATACTGGCAACGAACAACACGAGCATTCCCTCATCTCAATGCCAATCGGGATGAAAACGTCCCTAATGAATGCCTATATGTTATCATCGGTTCTGGAATTTCTGGGGCATTGACGAGTTTTGAGCTGACCGAGAGTGGGGTAAATGGAAAGGACATTATCATTCTCGAGGCAAGAGAAGCTGCATCAGGAGCAAGTGGTCGGAATGCCGGGCACGTAAGGCCAGGTATGATTGAATCGCGAACGTAAATATTGGTTCTATTAGAGAACCTCTTCCTAATCATCTTGTCAGATGCGTTCCGTGGTTTCAAGCACTACTCAACATTTCACGGCCCTGAACAAGCCTTAAAGATCCTCGCCAATGAACGCCTTGTTCTCAATAAAGTCGATGAATTCGTCCGCAAACATGAGGTTCAATGTGATTTCAATCTGTCAACTACTTTTGACGTGTGCATGACCCCGGAATTTACCGCATATGAAGCAGAGGTTTTCGAAGCTTTCAGAAAAGCCGGTGGCGATGTCTCGCACGTCAAGTACTATGATACGGAGGAAGCCCAAACTCGTACTAGGATCAAGAATGCTGTGGCTGCGTACGAATGGCCCGCTGGGTCGAGCCACCCTGCAAAACTGGCTCAATGGCTGTTGAACGCTGCAATTGAGCGTGGAGTGACTCTCTTCACACATTGCAGTGTTTCAAAAGTCACGAAACATGACAACGGCGAGTCATGGGACATCCATACTCCTAGAGGCAATGTTACCACGCGCAATGTGATTCATTGCACGAATGCATATGCATCACTCTTGCTGCCACAGCTAGAACCACATTTGACTCCGAATAGAGCGCAAGCACACTCGATAATCGCACCGCCCGCATTTTCAGGACCAAACACGTTAGGTAGCACGTTCTCCTTGAGATATGACCTTCACCACTTTTATTCTTTGATTCAACGTAAAAACGACGGAACAATGATTTTTGGTGTTTCTCGAGGGAGCCCAAATTTGAGTCCCGAAACGTTGAAAGGCTGCGTGACTTTCGAGGACAGAAGCTATAATGAGGAGATTTTGAACGAGGCTTTGAAGCAGTGGCAAATTTTGTTTCCAGGCAAGGATCGAGATATTGCTGGAAGGGACGTGCATGGTGAAGGATTAGATCATGCGTGGACTGGAATCATAGGGATGACTGCCGACTATGTCCCTTTTGTAGGACCTGTAGAAGGTATGAATGGACAATGGGTTTGTGCTGGATTTGGCGGTCATGGTACGTGCCCCTGATCAACTTATTTGGCTTTTGCACTTGAGATGACTGGTTAACCTTGTAATTCTGATTTAGGGATGGCACGAATATTCACATGTGCGCCAGGTATTGTCAAATTGATTCTGGGAAAGGAGTGGGGCGAAACTGGACTTCCAGAGTGTTTCAACATGAACAAGGAAAGGGCACTTAAACTCGCATCGAAATAAAAAGTTGTAATTACTAGCGGTGCAATACTACAGAGCACAACTTGATCTCTTACGTATCCAATATGCAAATAGCCACCGCAACACTTGTCCTTATTCTTCACCCTGAGCTCGCCCGCCTCGTGGCTTTGATAGCCTCATATGCAAGCAAATCGAGATGTTTTCCACAGCTTCGCTATACAACCTCCGATGGGCAAAGTCGTTCGCAAACAGTAAACAAGATTCAAAATAAGCTACATCGTACAGTACACCACTCGGCATCTGGAGGAAAAGAAGAATAGAATAATAGCTCCCCTCCGTACGCGTAAGGACCGAACGCGCTATGCGGAGGTAGAAGTGCAAGCAATGAGGATGCTTATCAAAAATCCGACAACAACAGCTTGTCTGTCAATCGTGTGTGACAGTTGATCGCAGATGGAGAAGCCGACTGAGGTCGACGCAACAAGGCGTGCTTTGGCTTTGGATAATCGCGAATTCTGCCGGGCGGTGAGTGGGTCCTTTCGCTCTCCTCAAAGACACGACACCCCATTATCACATCTTAAACCCCTCGGTATCAAAACCCATGGCTATACCTGACATGGCAAAGCCATCGGCTTCAGCTCAGGAGCATAACCCATCTCCTCATACTCCTCTCTTATCAAATCAAGAGCCAGACCAAGTGTCAGGTCCGGCGGCCACCCCACTATCAGTCCTCATCCTTTACTTCATGGCAATACATTTCCTGCTTGCGTTTTGCGAAATCATCCTCGTTGCTCCATTTATCAAACTACTTGAGAATTCCTTGTGTCTTTCTTATTACAACTTTCCGGGGAATGGAGTACAGGACGAGTTATGTAAGATTCCTGATATTCAGGGTCCACTCGCAACTCTCAGAGGTTGGAAATCAAGCTTTGATACTATTCCAGGTATTATCCTATCAATATGACTAAGATTACGATGTTCATTTCTTATTGGCGCTTAGTTCTGCTTGTTGCTATTCCGTTTGGGAGATTAGGGGATCGCTATGGGAGGAGGAAGATATTGGCAACTGCTCTGGTGGGCGTTGCAGCATCGTTGTGTGAGGTATTTGTCGTTTGTATGTTGTTCCTCACTGTAATCTATCACAAAAAATCCTATATTTATCAAATTCATAGGTGCATTTCCAAAGGTGTTCCCTGTCCGGCTAGTCTGGCTGTCTTCGATTCTTCTCCTTTGTGGCGGGGGTTTAAATTCAGCATCTGCATACATGTGGGCAATGGCCTCGGAGGCTATACCTTCAAAACAGAGGTAAGGAATTGCGGCCTATGTTTCAATGTCATGCCTAACAAATTGAAGGAGCCATGGCTTTTATTATATATTTTCAGCGTTTTACGTTGCGGAGCTTATTGCTTCATTCGTGGCATCGGTCACTACAGATATCTCGCCCTGGATTCCTTGTAGCCTAGCTATGGGTTCAATCATTTTATGCTTAATCCTCCTAGCAGTCATGCCCGACCCAAGAGGCTCGAAAAACCATTCAGAAAGCCCCGAAAGTCACATAGCAGAAGACTATACCTCACGCACCATCACAAAACCCACTACAACATCCCGCCTCCTAACGCTTCTCTCAAACCCCAACATCCTCTTCACAGTCCCCGTCTTCCTCGTCGGCATTCTCCGCTACACAACCCTCAATGTCCTAATCCAATACGCCAACATCCGGTTCCACCTCCCTCTCTCCACCGGCGCAACATTCTATACAGAAACTGCAGGCATCAATATCCTCCTCTTCCTCTTCCTCATCCCCGCCCTAACATCCCATATCCGCACCAACTACGCCGTGCGCCCACAGACCATAGACCTCTTCCTCGTCCGCACAAGTGTGTGTTTGATGTCCATGGGCTCTCTCGCCATCGGACTAGCTCCCACTACATCCCTCTTGCCACTCGGTACGTATCTCTCCTCTCTCTTCTCCTGTCCCCACCCCTCCCAAACTTTCCCGACACGTTCAAAACCCCCATACTAGCAACTGACATGAACCACACATACACGCAGGCGTCGCCATCTTCTCAACCGGCTTCGGCTCCCGCGTCTCCGCGCTCTCGCTAATCTCAACCTGGATAACGCCCAGTGACAAAGCCACCGTCTACGCCAGCATCACCGTGCTGGAAAGTCTAGGCCACGCGGTAGGAGATCCGGGCATGCAGCATATATTTGCCGCATCATTAAGACTCGAGAACTTCTGGCTTGCGATGCCATTTTTCGTTGCTGCGGTAAGTCTCATCCAATATAATCTGGTGGTATAGTATTAAAGTGAAGTGGAATAGAGTGATGAGCTGATTCTGATTTTAACTGGACATATATAGGGATGTTATTGCTTAGCGACGATATCTACTATGTTTATCAGAATCGAGAAAGAAGTCGAGGGTGAAGGCGAGGACGAGTGATAGCAGGTTAGAAGTTAGATCGGAAGGAACTGAGATGTCTAGCTAGGGGTCGATAGTCGTCGCATAGCTGGATTGGGAGGGTATACAGCGGCTAGCAGCTCTGGTCCTCGACAGAAAAAGAGACACTGCACTGCTCCAAGCCACCGGTGTCGCACATCTAAGAGCTACCATAGCTGACTACTGCTTTTTCTGTCCTCCACGAGAGTAGGTGGGGGGAACGAGGGGTGAGCTTACAGTAGCATCCGCTGCTTCCTTTAGATACCAACCTGGTAACTTACATCTATCACTTAGAAGAGTACGCCCGCATACTTGCTTGCTCATTGAGTAAAAGAAGATGTCTCAAGATCATCTGGGCAGGCTAGAACATTTCGAATCTGTCATGTCTTTCTTCTCATACTCTCCAAACTTATCCGAGTCCATTCCACTCAATATCATGCATTTTCTTTTTGGTGGGGAGGGGTATCTGGTCTGGCATATCACTATCAAGATATTTATCACGGGGTATTATAATGACCTGAAATATGTCTTCTCTATTTCTTTTCCCAACCTATCCAAAATATACAAAATGTTTTCGACCGCCTGTCGTATATGTACATCCCATCAGCCCATAATATCTACATCCGTAATTTTCCAATGCGTTATACTCTTTCCTTATCTCCTACAGTGTTTCACGCCTTCCAAACAAAAAGGACTCCTAAGTATAAACCCTTGAGTGGGTTTCCTGGACATAGAAAGCGGCACCTCCCATCGACTTTCAAAGTCCCACGCCACCTGGTACATTTAAAATCGGTGCCGGACAGCTCCTTGTTTTTATGGGGACGATCTTACAACACTGTAGTGTTATTAGCCGTCCCCTGCCCCGCGATAATCAACGCTTTCAACTCTTCAATCTGGGCACTCTTGGCACTCAACGTCCTCAACTCCTTATTCTTGGCACTCAAAACTGCAATTCTAACCTCCAGCTCCGCAACTCTATCCTCCAGCACGCGTTCCCTTGCTAAACTCTCCTCCTTTTTACCCCTCTCATACTCCTCCCCTGGACTCGCAGCTCCATCAAAGACAGCCAGGGAATTCCTGTTATCGCTAAGTTGCGCTTTTGACAAGAATGGCTTTTGCTTCTTTGATTTGGTCTTGGACGAGGTATGTTGGGGGTCTGTGGAGGAAAATGCGTCAGCGCCGGACTTGTTGACGCGCTCGTGCATGCGCTCGAAAAGCCAGATGCAGGCAACGATAGGGGCGTGAGTTATCTTGAGGAGCATGATGCGGGTTCGGCGTAGATGAGAGGCTGGGAGACAGAGGCGAAGGGGCCGGATAAGGATCAGTGGGATGAGGTTCAGAGGTGGGTAGAAGTGCGTGAGGCGGTTGCTGGTGGATGCTTCGAGGACGTAGACGGAGTATACGAAGAGGTATTCGTCGCGAGCGTGTGCCATCACCTTCGAGTAGGTATCGCTGAGAATACCGATCAAGATTGTGATCAGGAGGATGCTGGTCATACAGACGAAGATCAGCATTAGAGGGGGGCCAAGCACAGGATCCATGTCGGCCGTGATGTCGAATCCAAGGTAATTCGAGCCAAGAAAGACTTTGATCAATATCCAACTCATTTCTATTGGAGTGAAGGAATCCTGGGCGAGAATCGTGAAGGTGCTGAGAAAGCCTTGTGAATAGTGAGTGAATGTTCCATCTAAGGTGGCAGATTAAGTTACCAATGTACAGAAGTAGCACTACTCCTACCATAAATTTGACGAAGTCTTTTACCTGCAAGAAGATCAGATATTAAGGCCCCACAATTCAAGGACATATTTACCATTTCTTTCAAGCAAGGGATCTAAAATTGTTAGCAATACATAATTTATTGATAAGTTGAGAGCAGCTTACTAGAGTCCCGAAATACGGGTGCAAGCTCAAAATCGAAAATGTTCTGTTTTCAGTCAGTCGTGGAGCTCTACAATTTCGGAAGAAGTTCTATAGTACCTAGGAACCATAAACAATGCCTCCAGGGACAGAATATGGAATGCAGTATCAATAATATGGTGGTCATCCTTGACCAAACCTATGACTCCTGTGTTATAGCATTAGGAAAAGTCTCGAATGTCGAACCTGATTTACTTACTGCAGATAAGAAATGCTACTCCGATCAATATTATGACGATATCACAACCGTTCCAAAGATCGACAGCATAAAAGATTGAACCGGCATCGATGAATTCGCTCAATTCATCATAGGCGAAGGCTGCAAACCAGAAATATAGAAGCACTTCAAGGAACGTGATTTCGTATCTGAATACTGTTAGTTTGGTACTGAATACTGTGCAAGAACCTACGGATTTTGCTCGATGAAAACAGCGTAGTAGATAATCAAAAAGGTTGCAAAGAAAGCAATCTCGAATGCCTTGATGTATCGTGGTACTCGTAATCGAGTAAATGGGTCTGATTGACTTTTTCTGTAGAATTGTGGCTTCTTCAAGGTCTTCTCGTTCAGGCCGTCCCAGAATATTATATCTCCGTTCCAGATTCCGGTGATAATCTTTTGGACGATCCCCTGGCTGAGAAACCTTTTGCAGTCTGCCACTATAAATTCAAGATGCTGGAGTCAGCATTGCCTATACGATAACCTTTGGGGGTACTGTAGAAATAATGCTTCACAGGGGCTGAGACATTTATTCGAGAGAAGCCGACTCTGAGGTACTCGGGGAAAGAGAGAATTTTACTTACCTGCGGCAATTTCGAGTCCGTTTAGACCGGTGAAGGAGGTCGTAGGATCTTCCTCATCCTCATCCTCATCCTCATCGGCCGTGAGGCCCGAGATCTTGATGTGAGAAATTGATCGCAGGAGTTCGGCTCGTCTGCTACCGGGTCTCGTAGGAATCGGTACATCCTGAGCACGGAACTGGGGTAATAGAGTTGATCGTTCATTGAGATCCAATGCAGAAGGGGTGCCCGACTCGCTCGATTCGCCCGCTGGCTTTGACACTGCCGGCAGTTCGTATAAGCAGAAGTCCACGGCATCTCGTTCGGATATTCTGGCGAGAAATCTCCAGGCAACTATCTCGCATGCGTGAGCTCGAGTATCGTTGAGTTTGCGATCATCCTCATCTCCTTCGAGGGTAGAGAAATGCCATTTCAATATTCTAATACTTTCAGCCACTGAAGTTTTGCAGGGAAACATTAACTCCTATAGTGTTTTACAGCTATAAAACACTGTAGGATAGGACTTGACTTGGCACATACAATAGAGAATTGATCAAAACTGGATTGTGAACACTGTCAACCAAATGGTCAATCAATATTCGTAACTTGTTTTCGGCACTTGTAGTTCGTAGTTGCTCGAATGTAGAAGGCATCGTGATTTCATCAACGAAATACACCGACAGAGACTTTACAACTTCCACGAAAGAGTCATCAGACTTGATCCTTGGGAGTGGGAGTGGGATTGGGGAGGCCTGTTGCCGTTGCTCCCCCACAGGCGAACCGGATGTAGACATTTTGATAGGGGGAAAGCAATCAAGTTGTGCTTTGTTTTGTTTTGTCAGGGGATCGATCGATCATGAGGATGAGGGGGACTTCCCGCAGTATGGGATGCAACTATCGTCTGAATCGCAAGATAAAATAGAATACCTGTAATGTACAGTTAAGCATGGGACATGTGATATTTTGATATTGATATCGTCTTGGTCGAAAATTACATGTAGACAAGACAAACTTTACTTATACAGGGATCATCTCTGAAGCGCGTCACTTTAGCAGGATAATTCCGGGTAGAGGCCGTGCACTACAGCTACAGCCCCGCGCACCGCCTCAGACCGCGTACCGCGCTCCAGGCATCTGTGAGATTCGCCATCAACCCCACCTCAACTCACTTGCATCTACATCTACATCTACAACTACAACTTCAAGAATAACCACCATTCAGAAAATACTCTTTCAGACTGCAAAGAGCGACAGTATAAACCCAAGAGTCAACAGAACCACAAAGCTACCCTCACGAGCGTACAGTTTCGGCAACCCCGCACTTACTCATTACTTTCATTACTTGTAATTGTTTCCGAGACATCGATATTTCCACCAGCCTTGTGACCTGCTGCTCATCCACGAGCTCTCAACCACCATGGCAAATAACCCGCTCAGTACCGACAGCATCCTTAAGTACATGGCAGATGCCTTGCCTACACATGCAAAAGATGCCACGGACTCGGACATCTCCAGCTCATATGAAGCTATCGCCCTCTTCTCGCACGCATGTATGGTCGCAGTTGGATTTCGATTACTAGGATTTGGTGAAGATCAAAAGATAGGTAAGAAGCCCAAAGTCATTTGGATGTCCAGGCATTTCTAATAATTGCAAAGAAGCTGAATGTGAACGTCTCTCTCCGAGGTTATCGACGAAATGGAACTCTTCTTTCGGCTCGCATTCCTTCCTCTACGCACACTCACAATCCTCAATGCAATACGTTGTCAAGGTTGATCGGTTAGGCGGCAAGGCGGAGATTAGAGGCATTGGACTTGGAGATGAGAGAATCAGCAGATTCGAGATCACAGCTAAGGACTATATCTCGTCTGCAGCTCTTCCACTACGTATCAAAATAAACCAAGACGGGGAGGAGGATCGATCAGATCTAGAGGCAAAGCTAAAGGAAGTTTTCATTTCACCTTCACGAATACAAGGTAAGGTTTTCTCTTGCCTTTCCGAGAATCCACAAAGCTAACACTATCAGACCTCGCATCACTCTTTCAACTCACAATCATTCAAAAGCTTATACCAGGACTTCATAAAGAAGGGTACGAAGAGTCCGCCAATGCATCATCAGCCGAAGCCTCCCGCGTTCGCGAAGAGCGAGAACAAGGTCATGGCCGTCGTCCACCACCTCCAGACCCGATGGCAGACCCCGAGCCCGCCCGGCCCTATCCGTTCCAGGACCCTCTAGCCGCCGACCCTCGCCGACCCCTCCCACAAGGAGATTTCCCTCCCCCCGGATTCGACGACGAGTATGACATGAACCGGCCACTACGCGGCATGGTGCCTCCAGTTCCTGGGGCGAGATCACCGTTCGGTATCGGACATGATGATTTGCACCCTCTGGGACTAGGACCCAATGATCCTCTCAGAGGGAGTTTTGTTCCTGGAGGCGGCTTCGGAGGCGGAGGCGGAGGTGGTATGCATCCCACGTTTGATGATCCGCTGTTTGGTGGTGCGAATGGAAGAGGACGTGGACAAGGGGGGCCGCAGAATCCGTTCGGTGCGAGATATGATCCTCTGGGACCTGGTGATGTACCTCGTGGTGGGTTGGGAGGTAGGCCGCCGAATCCATTTGGTGGATTTGGGAACGACGATTTCATCTGAGCTATGCTTGGTGTGATATGTTCAATACGGGTAGATGTACGATTTCAAAGGAAACTAGGCTGTGACAGGGACGGATAGCGTTTATGAACACCCCTCTCAAAAAGACTAGCAAATGTAAAATATTTCCATCCCTTGAACCAAAACTTGCTGTGTATATTACACTATGTACGTAATGTAAACCTTATTATTTACCCAATTCGTTCATTGCTTTATCCTGCGTAATGGCATGGATATAACCAGCCTCCCTTCCAATAATGCCCATCATATCCATACGCCCCTCCTACAATTTCTGCTCTTCCTCAACTTGTAACTTCGGATCCAACAGATTCGCCGTCATTGTCTGATGCGGCCCCGCCTTCTCATCTAGCTTTAAATCCTCCAACTTCGTAAGCTCCCCCTCCTGAGCGGTAACGAACGTCTGCGGTTCCGGTCTCAACGCAGGGGCCAACGCACCGTTTTGAACTACTTTCTTGTCTGACGTAGCGGGCCGTGAAGGGATCTCCGTTTGAGCAAGCGAGGGCGTTGCCGTAGGTGCTCTGAGTAGCTCTGCTCTCGCTTCTCCCTCGCCTAGAGCTGACAAGTGGCCATTCCCCGTCACGGATTTGGCAGCAGCTTCAGGTAACACTTTCGTGACGACGCAAACATCGACTTTCCTCTCCTTTCCTTCTACACTCCCCACTGCCAACGCCTTGATCTTCTCCACGCCCTCCCCCCTTCCGTTCTCAACCCAATACATCGGGCCATGTGGGAAATCTTTCCGATCTCCATCCCACTGCAGAACCTTTTCTACATGCGGATCCAAGATTGGCAAATCACCGAAATGGAATTCTAGGTCCCCGCCATACTTTTTGGGGATATTGGCTGGCTCGATGAAGGTCTCGAGCGTCTTTTTTACATCGTGGTGCGAAATAATAAATATTTTTGATGTTGTTATTGGGTCGAACCATTTCTTGACCCAGCCCCAAACTGTGGGGAAGAATGCTGGGGCACCGATTATCTGTTTTTCTCAATTAGCTTCCTTTTCATTTTATAACTAGGCTTGAAGTTTGCATAGGGAAATGCGGAAGTGTAACGTACGAAAATCCTATCCAACGTCTCTGGATAATGCGCCGTAGCCAGCGTACTCGCATCCTGCATATGTGTTCTCAGATTCCAAAATTGCTTTAAGCCTACTCCCGAAATATCCACAATATTATTACTTTGCGAAATCGGCGTGTGCGGGTGATCTCTGTCCGTCATGGCCGTGGACAACGGCATCACGAATCGTGTGAGGTTCTCGTATAAAGCGAAGAGTCGGAGTAGTTTCGGGGAGGTTTTCCCGTCTGTTTGCGCTTTGGTGTGGGTTTTGACGGCGGATTTTTCGTAGGCGGACATGGTTTTTGCGTTTAGGTGTTTTACTTCGAAGACGTAGACGGGGATGCCGCGACGGTCGCGGCGGCCTGTCCATTGAGGATACTGTGAGGATGTATTAGGAAGTGGGGGTCTGGGGAGGAAGGAGGGGAGACGGTACTAGTCTGCGTGTTTCTTCGTATTGATCTAAGTCTATTGTCTCGTAGAGTTTGTCCAGCTGGTTTGCCTTCCGCCAGTCTTCCGTATCTTGGAATTGCTTGAACGCCTCTTCAATGTTGAAGCGCCTAGCTCGCAGGAATCGACTGGAGGACTTTGTTAGATACACAGTAAAGAAACACATGGAGGGAACGTACAGAAGTAGCGGATCGTCGTGACTGGGGAGATCATCTTTCCCGGCCCCAGGCCTGTAGTATCCTTTCTCTGCGCATAGCGTCTTGAACTTTTGGAATGCGGTTTCTTCCTCTGCGGTGAGATGGCCCAAGTGGCCTTGGGGATATCCATATTCAACCACAGCAGACTGGACTCTATGTGCGGGGCCTGCAGTAGACATGACTGCTAAAGCTGAGATCAAGAATATAGAGGTGAATAAAGAAGAAAAATGGAGGCTTGAGGTTGTGCTGATGTTGTTAATCGTCGACCTCACTGCGTATACTCGTATCTGACTTTTATGCAAGGTCTCTGCGTCATTTGCGTTTGCATAAATAAGCACGGAATTAGTCAGGAATAAAGGTCCATCCAAATCTCATCACCTTCCAAACTCATGGAGGTGGGAGGATAATAATTAAATCAAATTTCGTTGCTAAGCAGATGGATGGTTTTCCAGGCTCGGGGTTTAGAATCGGGAAACTCATTTCGGCTTCTTCGGCTTTGTGTAGCCCGTAGTTGATGACGATGAGAGACATCTGTGAATGGAAGAAGGGCGGTATCATATGCCCTTGTAGAGCAGGACTTTGACAGGAGAAAGGAGAAAGGAGAAAACAACAAAAAGAAGCTGGAGCAAACTTAATTTGGCCCTGAAGATATAATGTTCCTCGATATAGGTATTCCTGGGGTTGTGGTTAGGGGAGGGGTCCTGCTTGCATTGAGATATCCAGGTATTCAAGGCGATTGAACAGGTCCAGCACGAATGGTTCAGATGAATCTCTCCAAATCCAAGAAGAGCAATCAAAAGCCATCAAGAGCGAAGGAAAAGGAGAAGCAGTTCCTTTTATACCCAGGTACTGACTGTACTACAGAGTGACATACCTGATCAGCACCACGCGTTTCCACTATGCATGACCCCACTATCTCGTGTTAGACGTGCCGGCAACTCAACTCACCTCACTCCCCCTCCCCCACTACTACACAACCTATCATACCCAACTTCATTCTCATGTTTTCACGGCTCTCACAAATAGCAAGACACCTCTCCCGTCCTCCCCCAAACTACGCCCACAGTTCAGCAGCTGCAGTTTCCAGCTCGGCGCAAAGAATCATGACATCATCTACTGTTGCAGATAGGAATTCAAGGACGATACACACGGCGGCATGTCTGATTATTGGGGATGAGGTTTTGGGTGGCAAGGTAGGTCTGGTGCAATAGGACCGAGGGGATAATAGCTAACTATCAGTTGGTATAGACGGTTGATGTATGCATCCAGGGAAAAGTCGCTGAAAGGGGGATGCTGATTGGAAACGCAGACGAACTCAGCATACATGGCTAAGTTCTGCTTTGGTCTGGGAATGGTATTACTTCGATCCTAAAACGTTAAAACTCCAGCTAACGAATTGCAGGCTCTAAAGCGAATCGAAGTCATAGCAGATGATGAGAGCGAAATCATTGAAGCAGTTCAGCGCATGAGCAACAACTATGATTTCGTAGTGACCAGCGGAGGCATTGGTCCCACGTGCGTTCTACAATCTCAATCCAAGGTGTTATAGACAAGAGCTGACATAAACCAGTCACGACGATATAACCTACCAATCCATAGCAAAAGCCTTCTCCCTCCCCCTAATACTCCACGACGAAGCCTACGCGCGCATGCAGAAACTCTCCAAGCCACACCCCAACCAACCAAACTTTTCTTGGGATGAAGACACGCCGCAACGCAAAGCCAAGTTACGTATGATCGAGCTGCCCATCGACGCCTCCGTTCCCCTCGAAAAACAAGTCATTTTCCCACAAGAGGATCTATGGGTTCCGGTTTCGGTTGTCAATGGCAATGTACATATATTACCCGGAGTACCGAGACTGTTTGAGAGACTGATTGATGGTTTGAAGCCGTCTCTGCTGCCGAGGTTGACGGATCCAGATGGTAAGGGCATTTATAGGGTATTGATATCAACGCCGCAGCCGGAGAGTGAGGTTGCGTCTTACTTGACGGAGTTGGCGGGGAGGGTGGAGGCGAAGGGGGTTAAGGTGGGGAGTTATCCGAGGTGGGGGAAGACGAGGAACACTGTTACCTTGGTTGGAAGGTATGTTCTATTTGGCTTTGAAGAGATGTTGATTTGCTAATTTGTTTCGTAGGGATCAAGAGTTTTTAGAAAGTTTAGTGCCGGAGGTAGAGAAGAACGTGGAGGGTAAACGGGTATCTGTGGAAGGAGAGGACGATGAAGTTGAGGTATAGAAGTGCCATTTGAGGTGTAGATGACATGTAGAGAAATGGCCAGACTTACTCGTGGGAAATCTGGGTTCACCTAGCCCCTCTACGCTGGGAATAGTATCACACGTGGACAGTACCGACCCAGCGACCCGGCAGCCACACGAATCCCGTTTTAGACCAAACCACATGGATTTCAAAGATATGCAGAAATGAACACATGTTTATGTACGGAGTACCTTGCGATCGCGTAACGATCTTATGCAGAGAATCCATCTCAAATGACCTGCCGAAATGCAACACCTTCGGAGATTAACCACTTCTAGTCTTCTAGAACGCGAGACGGAAAAGCCACAGCTGCCTTTTTTGTATCTCAATGGTACGGATATAGATATAAAGGTTGTTTTGACGCTCGTCGTACTGTAAGGATTCCTGGTGAAACAACGTTTCGGAGGAACTTGCTGTACGTCGTACCGGCGTCATCAAGTGAAATTGAAACAAACAAATAATGGGGCGCTGATGGCGGTGCGGCACAGGTTGTCGCTCTTATCGTGACATATCGCGAATTTCGGTCTGGATGAGGGAGAAATTCTTCTAACTCCAAGAAGGTTGGAACTTGCTAGCTTTTGATAAACTGGTGATTTCGGATAGCTAGGAAGAGCTAGAAATTAAATAATAGGGGAAGGGAAGGGGTAGGGGTCCAGGCTAGGAAATAAATCTCCATTGAAAGTACCGTAACTGGGGTAGAAATGAATGTCTGAAGACGAGGATTTTCTTTGTTATCAGCGGTAGAAAAGAGGCCAGTGGCTTTTACTTGCCGCACGTGTTTTCAGTCCAAGAGAAGGGTTGAAGATTTTAATAGTAGGAATATACCTGGGTAGTTCTATAAGAGGAGAGGGACCTACCTGGTGGACGCATCGGCTCGAGCCCTATACAGTAGTACGGAGTATGGTGCAGATACTGTACATACATGCGGTTGATATAAGAAGATAGCGTGTGGAGGTGGAAGAGAAGCACCAGAAGATGAAGAAGATCCGCTGCATAAACGGCATGAAGATGTTGATCCCTTGCTACTGCACGCTCTACCATCTTTGAATCACACCCTCTTGATGTACAAACGGTTTTGATTGGGGGCTGGTCGATAGCTTGGCCGGCCCCTTGTCCCTATTGAGAGTTGGGGAGGAGGTTGGCTGGGATCACCCAATGAACTGGACTGGTTCTATGGACAAGCTGATACGTAGAGAGGGATGCACGCACCTTCTCTCCGCCAACCTAAACCTCAACCGTATCCTCTCTTTTTTGCTTGCTTGCTTGCGTTACCAGCCTGCCCTGACTTGACTTCTCTATACTATAAGATAGATATTCAATTCTTTCTGCAACGGCATACAGTACAGACAGACAGACAGACAGTCAGTCGGCTAGAATCCATCCATCCCTACGTGAGGTAATCTTACACGAGCGACCGCTTCTGATTCTGTGAATCCTGCCTTCGCTGCATCTCCACGAAGCGACACCACTCTACGAACACTCGAATTGAAACACCTCCGATACCCCCTTTCAGCCTTCTGACGAACGAACGACCGAGCAAACAACTACTACTGTACTGCTGCCCTGCCCTGCCCTGCCTGCCCTGCCTGCAGTATCTGCATCGACATCCCTTCCCCGGCTTTAGCTCCCCCATTTGCGGAGACAGTTGACACCACCACCCTCCTTATTATCCATCATTGCCATACCTGTTCTAGTCCTGATTGCTTAACTTTACCTCTCTCGCTCGACAAGTCTCAGCATCTGAACTAGCCCGACGACCGATTTAGGTCCAGCATCAATCAGTCAATGAACAATTGATAATTTAATCTTTTCTCCACACAAACGCAGTAGACATGGCATCCAAGGTAAGCTTGATGATTATCCCCTCTCCGTCGTGTACGCGTGCGCTGCTGCTGGAGAATCTCAATTGCTAACCAATGTTGTTTGCTCCGCGCCCACAGTTTTTGAGAGAATACAAGCTCGTCGTTGTTGGCGGAGGAGGAGTCGGAAAGTCCTGTTTGACTATCCAGTTGATACAGAGCCATTTCGTCGACGAATATGATCCCACAATTGAAGGTAAGAGCTTCTTCCCCTCCTCACCTCGAGCTATCATCCATCGCCTTATCCTGCGCCACTGGCATAATTCTCTATCAACAACCGAACATATGCTTACTTTTATTTCTTCTTCCCCCGCGCAGACTCATACCGCAAGCAATGCGTAATCGACGAAGAAGTCGCGCTTCTAGATGTCCTCGATACAGCCGGCCAGGAAGAATACTCGGCGATGCGCGAACAATACATGCGGACCGGCGAGGGCTTCCTGCTCGTGTACAGCATCACCAGTAGACAGAGTTTCGAAGAGATCATGACATTCCAGCAGCAGATTTTGAGGGTCAAGGATAAAGATTATTTCCCCATCATTGTTGTAGGCAACAAGTGCGATTTGGAGGGCGAGAGACAGGTTTCTAAGCAAGGTATGTATATTCCCCGTCCTGTCTTTGTTCTTATCGAAAACTACTCTTTCTAACCATATATTGTGTAATTAGAGGGAGAAGCACTAGCCCGTTCCTTCGGCTGCAAATTCATCGAGACCTCCGCAAAGTCGCGCATCAATGTCGACAACGCCTTCTACGACCTTGTCCGCGAAATCAGACGCTACAACAAGGAAATGGCCGGATACACAGCCGGTGGCAGTGGAGGCGGTGGCAGTAATGGGCAGATGGGGAAGCTGGACGTTGGTGACGGAGAGGGCAATGATAGGGGGTGCTGTGGGAAGTGCGTGATTATGTAAAGGGACTGCGCTGCGTGGATGGAGGGGGAGATACCTATACCCATGATCTGGGTCGAATATTTTGCTTGCATGGCTTGCGAATTCACACAAACATATATGTTGTCCAGAGAAGAAGTATGTACGGACGGAAAGAAAGTATGGACTGGGAGGGATGCTTAATTGGCTCTACTCTTATGACGATAAGAGATGTTACAACCAAACCACAAAAAGTTTCCTGATTAGGAGTGGGGAATTTGGTTGATACTTAATAGCTATGGTATGGATGGGGGATTTCCCTTTTGTTAGTATGTACTGTGAGCCTGTGAAGGAATGAATTGAGGGGTTTAGATCTTCAATGGAGTCTGTTTTTATCTGCCCCCCTTAGTCGGGACGACCTATGAGTAACTACTATTTATCTATGTAATCCGACCAAGTATGGTACGACTAGAATCGTACCATTTGCAGAAACAAGACTACGTACGTTTCTGGAACGTATATTTTGGTTCTAGGGAGTTGTATCAGTGTACTGCTAGCAATATCTCTACTTCCCTACCTCAGTAGGTATCTTTAAGTGGTGACATGGCTTGACTTTTCAAGACTAAGATGCAGTTGCTGTTGCTGTTTTCCACTACTTGAAGGTTTATCGTCCTGCATACATGCTTGAAGTGGATGCGTAGTCTCTAGTTCTTATAGCTTGTTGTATGGGCTACTAGGAGAGCCGGCCTTGTGGCAGTTGATTTTAGAATGGGGGCTAGCGTGCCCACGTCCTGTTGCATGTTATAGCAATGTCTCTTTAGTGTATCTTCTGTATTTTTCGGTTTTCACTTGTAATATATGCGAGGCAGTCATTAGACCATTTTATTAATGAATATTTGGTTTGGTTCTCTAAAATATTAACTAAGGAAATCTAATACGATTTCAACCGTGTACGTCCCTTGCATGATCATCTTCCTCTACAAAATACCAGCAAGATTTACAAGCGAATACTCCACAGTCGATATCCGGGGAGTTCTGGAAACATTTTGGACAGGGTTCACCTTGCCACTCCCTTTGAAGAAAGTTTGAAACACGAACAGATTGGTTTGTAATCGCATCGTACCCTTTCTGTATATCTCCTTTGCAGACCCAAGCAGTCCGTACCTTTTCAAGACACTCGCAGTCGTCGATCCCAGTGCCTCGCGCGGCGATAATCCCTCTTGCGCAGGGTCCACAGGTGTATAGCTTCCTCGTTGCTCGAGCATGGCCCCTTTTCGCGCTAGCTAATCTCTGGCCCTCGTTGTGGCATGTTAGGCAGACATAGTATACATCTCGGCTGTGTGTAGCGCCGCGGTTCAAAGGCCTTCCAATGCCGTATTCACAACGCCTTGCTGATAACTTGTTGCATAGCTGCAATTGGTCTTCCCCTACATGTACAAGTTCCGAGCAGCGATTTAGGTCGTCGTTAGGCCCTATATGGCCCCCTGTGGGATTGGACGGGAATAGCTCGAGGGGGTTCACGAAGGCGAGGCTCGATGTTTCGGCCCTGCGCCTCCACCTTACTCGGGTGGTACTGAAGTCAACGGGTACTGGTAATGTCGCAGGGGCCGCCGGGGCCTGGATTGGCGAAGTTTGTGCAGCACCAAACTGAGGCAATTCGAAGTCTGCGTTGGGATCCATGTCATCCATGCCCACATTCATCCCTGCGGTCTCCAGAAATTACCCTAGTTCCCCATTGTCATAAGCATTGTCAAAAGCCACATTGTGTACGCCCTCGTCGAATGATCCCCCAATAAGAGGGGATGGTGCTTGCGGAAGAGAATTTTGGTTATTCAGCCCCCATGTACCCGAAGCATTCTGCATCTCTTGTTGGGGTATATTGGCTTGCTCAACTTGCCGTCCAATGCTACTTCGATAGTCATCAAAAGCAATGTCTCTTTGAACTTGTCCTGGCGGAAGTTGAAGATCCAATGGATTGACTGTAGCATGTTGATAAATACCGGTATTTTCGAACGTAGGTCCTGGCGGCGGTGGAGGAGGCGGCGGAGACTTAGTAGAGTTCTTCCCCCTAAAGTCCCCCAGCATACGCATCCCACTAGCCTGGCTAGGCGGTCGCGGCGGACCGTAATATCCTGTATTAGTGGTTCGCTGAGCTTGCTGATCAGTTGGCGGTACTTGGGCATCGCCGCGAAATGGATTTCTCCTAAGAGGTGAGTAAGTTCTGGGAAATGCTCCTGGTGGTCGACCATCCCGTCTATCTTGATATGTTGAGGCTGGAGCACGTTGTTGAGCAGAAGAAGTATAAGATAAACGTGAAAGTGAACTTCCAAGGCCGTGCGTATCTCCCCTAGCTAGTGGTGCAGCTCGAGGGTGCGGTGGAGCAGGAGCCTCCGGTCTGGTGGTTTGAGTGGCGTATAACGCGGGGTTGATTGCTGGCCGGGGCGGAACTTGACGACTCGAGGGACCAGCTCAGCGCTGGGTTGGAAAGGATTACCTTGGTAATCTGGGTAGGTTCCTGTTGACGGTGGCGGTCTAGGTATCGGTTGCCCTCTCGTAGGAGGATAGGCCGAAACAGTTGTCCTCGTAACGGGGGGTCCGTACTCACAAACCCTAGAACGTCTGATGCACTCACCACAAGGTCTTACGCCGTTTTCTCGAAGACTGCAACGCTTCTTTGTTCGAACACATTCTTTGCATCGTGGAAGTGGTTTTTCTCTTTCACTTCCTGTTGGTCCGGTCTGTTTCCCTCTATTCCCCCCATTACCTGCAACCACTACTTTCCCTTTTCCTTTGTCCAAATTTCCCCCTTGGCTGCCTACTTTTCCTGCAAAATTTCTAGGTGGTGCGGCACCAACGCTTTTGCCTTTGCTGCCACTTGGATTGTTCGAAGGTGCAATGCTAGTAGCCATTGTCTCGAATACTCCTTGGACGGGATCTCTCTCAAGGGTCTGGTCATACAGCTCGTCTCCACTATCCTGGTCAGGCTCTGGTGTTTTGATTCTTGGTGCGTTATGGCAAGCCAATGCCTCCCACTCTCTTATGTCTGAGAAGAGTTTCTCTTTGAAAACTCTGTTGTTCTCCTGTCTAACTTGTTTCTGGCGTCTCCAGTCGGCGGCGTAATCCTTATCAAAACCACCACTTTCGGGGCTTATCTTGATGGCGTGCTCTTCTTCGTTTCGTTCCCGCTCATATTGGAAGTCCTCTCTAGCCAACTGTGCTTTCTTAGCAGCTGCGCTATCGAAGCCTGGTTTTGATTGGATATATAGTTTCTCCTTAGCTTCTTTGATTCGATATCTGTACTCCATCGTCGTTTCCTTCGATCGTTTGGGCTGCAAGTTAAGCATCTTTCTTGGGTCTCCTTCTGGAATACTGCCGCCCGAGGCAATACTGGCTGCGTCGTCGTCGTCGTCGACCATAGCCACATCGCCATCGGCATCAATTGCGATTGGATTGTCTAGATTGTCTCCTACTAGATCAAATTGCACTCGCTTCTGGGGACGGGTTTTCCCTTTCCCCATTGCTGTAGCATTAGCTCCACTCGCTGCTCCAGCAGCAGAAGACTCCCCAGCCGTTTCCCCGGGAAATTGGGCATTGCCGCGTACGCCAGCCGCGATCTGGACACCCAGATCCCCATATTGCTGTTGGTTTTGGGTTTGGTTGAGAAAGTTTCGATTTACTTCGTGTGCTCGGTATAGTCTTTGTTGTTCGGCCATGTCCTCCTTGGAGATATCAGGCATTGAAATATCCCCCGACATGGATTAAAGACTTCACTCCTTGAAGCACAAAATGATTGGCGCGGCGTTATCGTGAAGGGTCAAAGAAGTATGTGCGAATGGAGAATGTTGTAAAAATAGCGTCGCAGAAGTCAATTTGCAACTCCACAAACTTATAAATACACAAGCAAGAAATGAAAGAAACCTTTGTTTAAAAACAACATGATTTCTTACAGCTGTCATAATACAGGTACCAAAGCGGTGGTTATGCATCGAGAATATTATACTGAACAGTGGGATGAACCTTTAATCCATTTAATGTTTGTCCGGATGCGGTCTGTAGAGATTTTGTTCAGAAAGGAGGAAACTGTTATATTGAAAACACATATATTCTTTGTTTGGGTTCTAGGGATTACCACTCTGGGCCCCTTCACGCTTCGAACAGAATGTATACAAATGAAAAGGACGACCTCTCTAGTCCGCAACTAGTACATGTCGAGAACAGAGTGTCGGGCCTCGAACAGAGAAATGAAATAACCTTCCATGGATGTGTCGCCTTCTCCTGACCAACCCACAGGAGGCAATACCGGTGGTACTGTACCTATACTATGTACCCCTGTGAATTATCAGGCAAAATTTGTGGAATACTGTAAAATGAAAAGATTCGTTCAAGTGTGTGGCTGGAAAGCACGACCTTGGAATGCCGTGCGTCCGGAAACGGAAGTCGAGCTTTGATTACTGGATTAATATGAGTCTCAATTATCTCTCTTGTAAAGTGTAGGCAATGACTGGTTCAACAAGTCTCCATAACTTACTTCTCGGCAGAGGAGTGGAGAAGCGAATTCGAAGAAAAGGGGGATATTGTCACGTGATATTTACAGCTGTTTCCGGGATATTGTCAGAGGCGGAGATTGGGCTTTGTGTTTAACACAAGCCTCTTCTGATGATAATTTATAGAATATTGTGAGAACCAGGGATACAAATTACTATAAAAATTACTCGAAACCTTGTCTATTCCGGGTTGACTATCTGTAAGTGCCTCGAGCTAATGTTTTTGGGGTGAAGTAGGTTCTTGAGACAGTTTAAAAGACACCAATACTTCTTTCGGAGGTAATAATATTGACAGATAAACCTTTCAAAACGTATTTTCCAATTTTCACTCCCTTTTCATCCGCTTAGTAGAAAGGAGGCTGACTGGTGGGGGCTCGGGGGATCTCCGTACGAGGAACGCCAATATCCGCTTATCGGGTGTGGGGTCATCATGAAGGTCCCAAATCACAACATCAACTATTATTTTTTTGACCATCCCATCCCACTCTCAATTTCACATTTAAGTACAAAGTTTCACGCATGCCCTTCTTGCAGACAAGCAGACATTTCTTCCGCGCACTCACAGCCGTTACCCTCAGACCCTCGCAACGAATCCCGAATCCCTATCCTTATCCCTCCCTCCAAAACATCCGCAGCATGGCCACCGCAATGGGGAAACGCCTCGACGGCAAGACCATAGTTATTACCGGTGCTTCATCGGGTATTGGACGTAGCACAGCTCTGGAATTTGCGCGCACCTCTCCCAAGAATCTGCGACTGATTCTTACGGCCAGGCGGATCGATACACTGAAGGAGGTCGCGGCGGATATCAAGAAGGAGGTCGGAGAGGGTGTTAAGGTCTTGCCGTTCAAGCTTGATGTCAGTCAACCAGACGAAGTACGGAGCTTCGTAGGGAACCTGCCAGAGGAGTGGAGGAACATCGATGTGCTGGTCAACAACGCGTGAGTTGCTCTCGTCTCGGGCAAAGTGAAAGAGGGGTGATATTAACGTTCCAATAGTGGGCTTGTCAAAGGTGTTGCAAAGGCACCTGAGATTGAAGAAGCGGACCTAAATGTCATGTTTGCTACCAACGTTACGGGTCTCATCAACATGACCCAAGCTGTCCTTGCGATTTTCAAGAAGAGACCTGAGGGCGGTGCGGGCGATATCATTAATATCGGCAGTATTGCTGGACGGGAACCATATCAGGGTGGAAGCATTTACTGTGCTAGCAAGGCTGCAGTCAGGAGTTTTACAGATGCTCTGCGGAAAGAGTTGATTGCTACTCGCATTAGGGTTATTGAAATTGATCCTGGTCAGGTTGAAACTGTAAGTGACTGACTGCCGGATGACCTGCTGGATGTGAAGTACTGAATTTAGGCAGGAATTTTCAGTCGTCAGATTTTATGGGGACAAGTCCAAGGCCGATGCTGTCTATGCGTAAGTTATCCGCGTCTTTAGCAGGACAACACTAACTAGCATAGTGGATGTGAACCTTTGACTCCAGATGATATCGCCGAAATAGTTGTCTTCACTGCCGGACGAAGAGAAAATGTTGTTGTTGCGGATACTTTGATCTTCCCCAACCACCAGGTGAGAGTCCCGTATCTCCTAATATATGCCCATGCTAATTGAACGAGGCTGCTGCTACTGTTATGCACAAGAAGTCATAGATATACCCATATATTCCAGGCCGGGACCGGAGGAGCGATGTACAAGAAGAGCGACTAAAAAAGTTGGTTATATTGTACAGATCAAGATACTAGATAAATGCATCGAATACTTCTCAATATCGAACCTGCTGGATTTTCCAGAAGCCTGTAGCAGCACACAATGAGGTTCTGGCTGAGCACAGCACCTCTTACCAGACCAGAAAAATGTTATCTTGGGGGCCAGACCAAACCAGATAGAACCATCTCGCTAACCTCCTAGAACATCAACCAGGTCTCTATATATTGCAAATCAACAAGGCGTATCCAATGAAGGATGTGCCGCAGGGCCACATATGCCTTCGTTCTTTCTTACGGGGTAGCCAATACCGGTAAATAAGCTACCCCACCATGACATGCAGTTCGCGGGGTCCCGAGGGGTGCTAGTGTAAGCTGCATACTATATGACCAGCGGATGACAAGAGTGGAACTTTGCCACCCCGAAGTTTAAATTGTCCTCCGTAAGATTTAACTAGTGTTCCTGTCCCATTTGAGTAGTTGATCGGTCAATCCGGGGTGAGTTTTAGTATGCTTACTAGAATTAGGCAACAAGTTAAGAAGATCTTTCCCCAGCCAAAACGTTCTGGCTAATATATATTCTAGTACTTACAACTGTTGATCATCGTTTTTAGAGAACGGAGATAGGGCTTTTTACTATCATCAGACAGGTTTTCCGAAAACTGGTTCGCAAGATGGACATTGTATCATGGACGTTCGGTAACCTGGATCCGAATTCAGAAGAACCCGTGAGACTGACTTATTGATAACCTCAATTTGGGAATAAGCAAGGCTAATATCTGCTGGATAGGCATACATCGATGCCAATGATCCCACTCGGTACTTAACTTCCAATGGGGTTCGGACGCTGGTCCGGAAGCTCGTTGCTGGATTCACAGCTCATGGGTTGCAAAAGGGAGATAGTGTCTGTGTTTTGAGCTTCAATGACGTGGGTAATATCTTGGGAGGGGGAAAAGGAGAAAAAGATAACTTGCTTAATACGTTTACAGATCAATTACACTGCCCTATATCTAGGTATAATGGGCGCAGGAGGATGTTTCGCGGGAGCTAATCCAGGATACACTGTCCGCGAGCTTTCTCACCACGTGAAAGTCACAGGAACGAAATTCCTCTTGATTGACGTGAAGGTGTTGGATGTAGCAACTGCGGCTGCCAAAGAATGTGGTATTCCTCTCTCGAATATCGTCGTTTTGAACTTCCATGGAGAGGCTACGCCAGATGGGTACCGCTCGTGGAACAGTCTTCTTGATAAGGGAGAGAAAGATTGGGTTCGAATCAAAGACCAAGACACCACTGCGGCTTATTTCAGCACAAGTGGAACGACTGGCTTTCCAAAAGCAGCTATTATAAGTCATGGATATCTCGTTTCGCAAGCCATATCTCTAGAGCAAGTTTGCGCTACACAGAACTCAAAAGAAAATGTGAGTTCGCATGATTATAACAGAGACTGAACTTACAGTGATATTATAGGACCCTTGGCTATTTTCAATCCCAGCTTTCCATGCATTTGCCATACCCTTCCAACATGTGTTGGCCCTTCGTCAAAAGAACAAGCCTGCATATATCTTACCGCGCTTCAATGATTCTGTTTTCGTTGACCTTCTCCAGAAATACAAGATCAGAAGCACCGCTGTCGTGCCGCCAATCTTACTATCTATAGTCAAGTATCCCGAATCAGTGTTCAAGTCATTGAGAACAATATTCTTCGGGGGTTCCAACCTTGCGCCTGGGGTGGTAGAACAGATGTACACAAAATTACACCCATCAGCGATCGTAAATCAGGTATTCGGTATGACGGAGTTGGGGATTTGCATACTTTGGAATAGAAAGGAAAGAGATCTGACCAACAGTATTGGACAGCCTCTTCCTGGGTACAAAGTGAGGTAAAGTTTGCATATACTGTATCTATGAAAGCTCGAGCTAAATGTGATGCTTCAGAGTGGTCGATGACGAAGGAAATGTGCTTTCGGGACCTGGCGCCACTGGTCAGCTTGAAATCTTCGGCGAGCACATAATGAAAGGATACCGAAATAACCGAGAGGCGACAGACGAGGTATTTACTGCAGATCATTGGATCCGCACTGGCGATATCGGATACAGCAAAGACGAAAATTGGTACGTCGTTGATCGTGCCAAGGACCTGTTCAAAGTCCGCGGGTGGCAAGTCAGCCCTGCTGAGATCGAAGCTGCATTGATTGAACATCCAGATGTTTTAGACTCGGGCGTAATCGGAGTACCTGCGGCGGACGGATGTGGCGATACACCGATGGCGTTCATTGAAGTTCAAAAGGGCAGTTTGTTAGATGAGGAAGGGGTCAAGAAGTTCTTGGTACCTTATTTGGCACGGTATAAAAATCTTGGTGAAGTTAAGTTTATCGACAAGATTCCGAGAAACCCTACTGGGAAGATCTTGAGAAGAGAGTTGCGGGCTATGAGAGAAGCAGACAGTGCCACCAACACCAAGTGCGGCCCCATTGTCATGCAGAAATCGCAAGCAGAGGACACCCAAGTTGCTAGTCAAATGCCACGCCGCTTACCAGTCGTAGAGAAAAATGATACTGCTAATTTAGGTATTAATATCCTTGTTGATAATCATTCAAATTTCTGACTTTTCTCAGGTGTCCTAGGTCGACTCTATTCGGCTCTGAATGTCTTGGGATTCTATCGCGCAACAGCATTCATTGCGGTCGGCTCCTACTCAACAGCCGGTATATCAGATCCAGACTCATGGTTTACGGATCGCTTTGATCAAGCTTTGTACAGAACCGTGCAACACCATCCATCTCTTTGCTACGGGATCATTGACCAAGCCCCCGAGAAAGAAGCTCATTTCTTAAGACTCCCAGCAATTCATAGAGATGATGTTGTAGAGTTCTGTGGGCAATCTCCTAAATACGAAACAGAAGACGAAGATTCCGTTCTTGCTAGGTTACTAGAGAAATTCCACGTTCGGAGGCTTTTCGAAGGACATCGTATCCCAGCATGGAGAATTGTCATTTTCAAGCATGGTGGTGAATGGGGCTCCAAGTCTTCTGATCCACCTCCTAGACAGAAAATCAGCTTTGCTTTCCTCGCAAACCATGGTCTCGCTGATGGACTAAGCCTTGCCAATTTCTTCAATACCTTCTTCCGCTTCTTCAATAACGCCCAAACCGAACCAACTCACTGGCCATTTACCGTGCCCGAAGACTTCAAAGCCGCAGTTCCTCTGGAAAAAACTTGCGACTTGGCGGCTAGGGACGAAAATGACATCGGTCTGAATTTCGATCCCAATGCCAAGATATGGTCTGGTGCCGATATGTTCCTGACCTCTATAGAAGACTACGGCACTGGCGTACGACTTGTCTCTATTCCACACGCGCCACTGAGCAACGCACTGCAGCTGTGTAAGAAGCATAAGATTAGTTTGACAGGCCTTCTAAATAGTCTGCTCCTCATATACCTTTCCAAGGCCGCTCCCTCAGACCACGGTTTCCGCTCTATCATCCCCTACTCCATGCGTCACGTAACAAGAGCCACCCACGACGAGATCCTGAACCACGCCTCCGGTCTCGTCTGCGAATACTCGGAATCCATCGTTTCGGAAATGCGTAGTTCGACAGAAAACTCGACCGAGGAGCTCGACTTAATCGTTAAACTGGGCCTCGAATGCCGGCAAAAGCTGACCGCCGAGTTGGTTAGATGTCCTAAGAACAATCTTATGGCGGGTATGATAGGAGTCGACGATTGGTATAGCTCGTCGAAAAGACAATTAGGCCAGAAGCGCGCGCTTACGTTTGGGATATCGAATCTGGGGGTAGTTGGAGGCGTTGAAGACGTGGCAGAAAATGCTATTTTGAGGTTGGAGAAGATGGTTATTTCGCAGTATGTATGCCCATTTTCCTATTCCCGTTCTTCCTAGGCCATAGTGTAGCTAGCTACTGACTAAGACTTCAGGTGTGGATCTGTCACAGGTCCTGTTTTTGGCTTCAATAGTGCGAGTATTCCGGGAGGTCCATTGGCTATCACTTTAACCTGGCAAAAGGGCGTTGTTGAGGAGAAATTCTTTGACGAGATGGCGAAGTATCTGTCTAGGCGATTGATGTCTGGCTTGAAAGAATTATCTGAGCTTTCGATGTAGAGGAGAGGACGACAGAAAACACTGGACAAGGTCAAGTTTTCTCACAAACCTTGAAATGCTCGAAATCCTTTACGACAGTCTTCTCATCTTAATGTACATGCATAGTATCTACCATCCTTGGCATACTTATTACACAGCCACAGGATATCCCACCCCTCTTCTTCCCTTCATAGCGAATGGCATTCCGGGAGTCTTACCAGTCATGGTCAAGGCACATTCAGCCAGCGTGCAGGCGATAATGAGCATTTATCTCCCCCTCCTCCAGTGCACGAAGTAGCCACTCCAAATGCTCTCTATGACCCGCGCGTTGCACATCCGTCATGGCCTCTGATTCCGCTACATAATCGAAATAGCTGAAGTTGTTGGCATACGCAAGCGGAGCTGCTGGGGTGGGGTATCTAGCAGCAGGAGCTGGTGCTGGTGCAGGTGTAGGTTTAGTGGCTGGAGGCGGAGGATAGTAGGGAGAGGACAATGGTGTAAGAGTTGAAGACGGGGGGAAGAACACATGCGGATTCAGATACCGTGGAGTAGAGTTGTAGTTGTATAGCTGGTGTGTGAGGGCATAAGGTGATGCTGCACCCTGAGCCTGGGCCTGAGCCTGCTGGGCGGGATGGAGAGACTGGTAAGGAGCTGCAAGTTCATGTCAATGCGATGTCCCGAAACAGTGAATAAATATACGATAGGGAGGAACATGGAGAATTTATCCTTACTGTAGGTATAAGTGCTTGCTTCGCTCTCAGGCTCAGACATCATTGGATACTTGGTCGGTTTGGGTTTCCTTGGGCTATAAACACATGACCAACCCGCACCTCTGCAAGTGTCGCAGGCTGTGCTAAGTTCGTCAGTGTTTCTGCATTTGTGATTGTACCTTTTAGATCCAGTTAGCTAACTGCAGATGGGAATTGAAAGAGAACCAAAGGAAAGTAGGTAGTACCGAGCGCACGTATCACAGCTTCTACTACCACCACTGTCAAAGTTATATGCATCTGCCCCTCCTCCGTAATCGCCCATACTAGGAGCAGCACCCGGGAGGAAGTTTGGGTTTCCTGGTTGGCTCATGTACATGGTTGATGCGTTGCCGTAAGCTGTAGGAATGAGAATGTGTGAAGAGACGACCGTATTGTTTTGGTGGTCTGCTGGAGCGGGTATGTTTATTCACCATTGTTTTGATCCAAAATACTTGGACGTAGTAGTGGTTGATGGTCTTTTGGCAATTCAATCTGGAGCATCCATCTCGATGCTTTGCTTCACAGGATTAGCTCTAGATAAGGTAGAACATTCACCTAAGATGAGACTCTCTTCAAGGGTTCACTCCTAGGGATATTTCTTTGGGGGGTGATTATGTTTACTGTCAAGTTACCTGTTTTGGAAGAGTGAGAGAGGGAAAAGGGGTGAGTGCCTGAGTTCGGCAAGCACGTTGACTTCAAAGGTGCATGTCTGCCGACTTGATTGAACGATATGTAAAAATAATCTATTGATAAAGTCTTTGCATTCATATCTCTTGAATTACCGGTCCCTTCGATCTTTGTAGTCAGGGGTATAAACGGTACGGGGTGTATATCACTTGATCCAGCTAACGCTAGCAGTTCAGCGGGGAATATATATCTCGCAATGACAACTATCATAGCAGAGCAAATTTAGTTCTAAAAAGTGCAAATTCTTAGTTTGATTTAAACAGCAGATTTTATTGTTAGAAGTTCTATGCTAGCTTTAGTATCAAGGGTCTTATATAGAGTGGCGTGGCCCACTCTAGTATGGCTAGAAGTGGGTCGTTCTGCTTTCCCTCCGGGCCACTCATTCATTACGCTAAAGTGCTAGCGTGGGCTGGATTCAGATCCTTCCCTTCTTCTTCCATCATGAAGAATCCGACGCTTCAAATAATAACGAGAGCCTAGCAACTATGCAACGAAAAGACGGACACCTCAGGACCAGGCCGACATCAGATTGCAGCTTCATTCTTCGACATAAGGATGGAGGCAGCCCCTAAGCTGATGCTGCCAGCCTCGGCAGTGCACAGCCTTCCCATTGCCCAGATCACTAAACAACATGAAGCACGCGAGATGGATGCTTACAGAGTCCATAAGAGAGGTTTGGTACATACCTCGGCTTTGCTGAATGCGACTTCTGGACATCATGGAATACTTCCCCATGCATATCTTCAGAGATCACTCTCACAGACTTACATTGGCAAACGACGTATACTGTTGACGGGTCACTAGTACGCCGATACGCTTGGATTGCGGTAGAGGCCATAGAAAGCATCGCCTCCTCTTGAACACAGCCAGCTATTCTTCCTGGATGTCGGAGATACGTCATCTCCTTTCCGACTGTTATCGGCGGCTAGAAATGAAATTGGACTGGAATGTACTGTTCGAATTTTGCCGCTTTCGAGTCTCGGCTCCTCAAGTGTGGAGGTTTCAATTGACCATTGCCGTGTGCGAGTAAAGAACGTGATTGTTTACTTTTTTTGGACGCATATGGCTCCCCAAAAAGTTTGTTGGAGAGCTGGCTTGAGATATGGATTCGTGTAACTACCTAAGAGATGGTAAACCTAAGATATCAGGCACGATGCAATTTCGCGAAGCCAGGCGCTTCTTTGTTGTTTCTCTCGTGGCCACTCCCATAACCGCCTCGAGAGGCTGGTCGTAACAGTGGCACATATATATCGAGGCAACCAGAAGATGTACCTGCCCAAATACACTGGGTGTCCCGTTGTGCCCTCATGAGCGCTACGGTAAGGCGCGGCGATTTGAAGTTACACAAATAGGGGGTACAGCCTCTAAGTTTCAACGCCCGCCAAGAGGCGATCGTGGGACATTCCCGGTCAAGTATCTCCCTGTATTCTCATTTTTACTTCGCATTATTTTGCAGCCCAGTGGATAGAAGCTTAGTAAGCTCGAACCTCGGAACTTGTGAGCCATCTCCGTTCAAAGTTGGGAGCTACTTCATAGTTCACATTCCATAGCCAGCCCCACATTCCGGATTTCTCTTTTGACTCCTCCGATTTCCCCCAAGCCAACCCAAGCAGAGCCGAGCGGCCCATCAAACACAAGTGACCATGCAAACACATATATAAGCTAAGGCTCAGAACGTAGTAGACGACTTAAGTCTAGGTCTCACCCAAAGATGCAAACGGATCCGAAAATTGAGGGTCTTGTGACCATGGCTGAAGCAGCTGATCGGTATGACAGCCTGAGTAGCTTGTCTGCTTGTAGTGCTATAATGCAGGATCTTCCCCCGCTTTCTTCTGTAGCTAGGCTGATGAAATGTATATTCTTACCCATAGGCAACTAGTCTGGTACGCATGCGGTGGCAAACCCCAAGCGTCCTCTTTAATCCTGATCGATGACTGCATGAGGCTGTAGTAAACACGTGCTAGGGTGCGGGGGCTTCATGAAAGATTAGGAACTGTTAGAAAGATAGAACAAAGAGTGTGAATTTGTCTATATATAACTGTTCTCCGTCTCTTTCAAACTCTTTCCTGTTCTTTACCCCGTTCGTCTGCCCTTATTTTTTTGCCCTGCAACCACCGCGACTATGGCCAACGAACCAAAGTCCTTGACTCATGAGTCTCATCTCCAGCAGTATGTTCTTCTCTCAGTGTCCCGGGAATTACCCGAATTCTAACGAACTGCTTTCCAGCGAAGAACTAGCTCAACCCTTCGATCATATCGACCTGAATGCCAATACTGGAGCCAAGTAAGTCTTCACATTTCTTCACACAGACCCACAGAGCTACAGACCTTAAAATATTGACCAACTCCAGGATTAAGAACCCTTTGGCCGGCATCTCCCAGGCAACTTTGCTCAAAAATGTCGAGGAATTCGCACTGGAAAAGGGGCTCTCCGAACACACAGCTATTTTGCAGAAGGGTGCCCTCGTTGCAAAGGACCCCGCCAACTATGAAGATATCACTGGAGAACATGCGCTGAGCCCTGATGAAGTCAATCAGCTCCGCAATGAAGTTCTACACAAGTGGCGTCACCCTTGGGCACTTTACGTGACTATATTTACCTGTTCCATTGGTGCAGCGGTTCAAGGATGGGATCAAACTGGTTCCAATGGAGCCAATCTGTCTTTCCCGGAAGTCTTTGGAATTGGCAGCGACAGCACTAAGGATACACTCCTCGTCGGTCTTGTCAATGGCGCCCCTTATATCGGTTCCGCCTTCGTCGGCTGTTGGGTATCGGATCCTCTCAATTTTTATCTTGGCCGTCGTGGGACAATCTTCATTGCGGCTATCTTCTGTTTCCTCCCCATCCTCGGTTCTGCGTTCTCTCAAACATGGGAGCAACTTTTTATTTGCCGTCTGCTTCTCGGGTTCGGGATGGGTGCCAAGGGCGCAACTGTTCCTATTTACGCAGCTGAAAACAGTCCAGCCGCTATTCGTGGAGCTCTCGTTATGTCCTGGCAATTGTGGACTGCCTTTGGTATCTTCCTAGGATATTCCGCCAATCTTGCTGTCGCCCACACTGGAAAGATCGCATGGAGATTGCAACTCGGTTCCGCCTTCATCCCAGCCGTGCCACTGCTCTTCTTGATATTCTTTTGCCCTGAATCGCCCAGATGGTGTATGAGTAAGTCCTCCGTAATCTGATATCATACCACAAACTAAATCCATTATAGAGAAGAATAGATACCCACAGGCATACAGGTCTCTTCTGCGACTTCGTAACGATCCTCTTCAAGCTGCCCGTGATATGTACTATATCCACTGCCAACTCGAAATTGAGCAGGAGATTATTGGCGACAGCAACTACATCACTCGCTTCACGCAACTCTTCACCATTCCCCGTGTCCGCAGAGCAACCCTTGCCTCCTTCACGGTCATGATTGCGCAGCAGATGTGCGGTATCAACATCATTGCTTTCTATTCGTCTACTATCTTCGCAAAGTCCGGATTCTCACAATATCAGGCACTGTATGCCTCCTGGGGTTTCGGTTTGATCAACTTCTTGTTTGCGTTCCCCGCGATCTGGACTATAGATACATATGGTCGCCGAACACTACTTCTCTTCACATTCCCAAATATGGCTTGGTCTTTACTAGCAGCTGGTCTTTGCTCGCTCATTGATATCCATTTGACCGCCCATTTAGCACTCGTAGCTATGTTCATCTACATCTTCGCCATATTCTATTCCCCCGGAGAAGGACCAGTCCCATTCGCGTACTCCGCTGAGGTCTTTCCCCTGTCTCATCGTGAGATGGGTATGGGTTGGGCTGTCGCCACTTGCTTGTTCTGGGCTTGCGTCCTCACCTTATTCTTGCCTCTCATGCTCACAGCTATGAACACAGTTGTATGTCTCGTCTTCCTTCCTATACAAACCGTAGCAAAGCTAACTTTGCATCACAGGGTGTCTTCGGGTTCTATGCTGGAACGAACGTTATCGCACTAGTGATGATCTTTCTATGGGTCCCGGAAACCAAGCAACGTACCCTCGAAGAACTCGACTACATCTTCGCCGTTCCCACTCGCACCCACATGCGCTACCAAACCTTCACTGTTCTTCCGTGGTGGTTCAACACCTGGATCATGCGCCGAAACGTCGGTCCCCTCGAGCCTCTTTACAAGTTCGAGAACAGCGCCAACGACCAGGACAAGATCGATGCTATGTACGCTGCCGACATAGTCAGAGCTAACCGCAAGGCTAGCAATAGCATCGGAAGCGGGGTTCAGGTTGAGAACTTGGAGACCATGGAGAAGCGATTGTGATACACTGGCAAGAGGAGAGAGATGTGTGTGGAGTTTGGTGAACATAACAAGATTGTCAAACATAATGGTTTAGTTGGCGTTTCATATACCCCGATCATCAATTTTGCATGCAATATCCCGTCGTTTATTATACTAGGTACTATGCACCAAGAATCATGCATTGATGAATTACTCCAAGAACTACACTCCTCGTGATATCACCGTGATAATAATGGCCCCTATTTCAATGTCCCACCCGGCGTGAAATGGTAGTATCTCTTGGTTACACGAAATACACCTTAGCCTACCTAGGTAAAGCACATTTATGGCGATTGTAAAAATAGCAATATCCTTGTTTCCAAGGCAAGAACAGACCAAGGAGATTATCCATGCAAGTCAGCGATATAGCTCCTAAGACTTATACACACTGCTAAGTCTATTAACATTCTACCATTGCCTTGAGATATGAACTGGCCCTGGGAGATATAACGACACAAGCCTTGCTGCTTGAGCCCTTATAACATATTGCCTAACCCAAACCACTTTCAGCTCGTGGTTATCCACTCGCGTGTTGTTGCCCTGATAATGCATTTAGTATTGAGCAAGGATAGGACTCAAAGTGGTGTACTACTCACCTACCACTCTGAATCAAGTAGATAAAAGTTATTGTCCTCGGCCAACTATCTATACCAATTTCCTCCGGCATCTGACTTGCTGTGTTCTCATGTTCAAGAAGCATATCTACTCCCTATACAGCGTCACCGAACTTCCTTCCTCAGCTAAAAATCCAGCCAATCCTCCACCTTCGTGTTTGATATTTGTCTCTTTTCCCAGAAACACCTCAACCCTCGTCATCTTCATCCTCATCCACAAGTTCAAATTTCGCCTTCCCCTCCTCAATCCATGCCTCCAACACAAAATCCCCGGCCTCCACCAATCTAACCGGTGTACTTTTCACACCTCCCCTATCCACCCCAACACTGGTATTCCTCTCCCTCTCCTTACCCTTTCCATTCCCTTCCGTCTGCTGCTGCAATCCCGGCTCACTAGCAACCCAAGGCATCGGATGTCCAATCGGCGCTTCGCTCCCCTCCCTCATCTCCACCACAAATGTAAATGTACAATCCTGCGGTAACTTCTTCAGCCGCTCTCCAGCAATCTGCAGCTTCTTAATCGTAGCCCTTAACTGCTCTTCTACATCAACAATGCCCCTTCCTTCTTCAAACTCCGTCCATTTCTCCTTCTCGCCTACAACAGGGAAGCGGGAGATGTCAAAGATATAGCGTTCAAGGACTTGGCCTGAGGCAGAGAAGATAACGAAGGTTATAAGGGAGATGGAAGAGGTGAGGAGGAGCGGTGTGAGGTGCGATATCGAGGTGTTGATCCAGGTGCAGACAGCAGGGTGGCGGGATTGCTGGACAGGGAGGTTGTAGGCGCGGGTTGTGAGGAAACTTGAAGGAGGATAAAGAGAGCGGATTGAGAGGAGGGTATGAAGAGTTACGGTGAGGAAATCCGTCAGGGTGCGGGTGAGGGAAAGGGAGGTGTTGAGGATTGGAGGGGCTGGTGGGGGTGCTGCGGACATTGTTGTCGACTCGTGGTTTGCTGGGTATAGTGCTTTGCTTGAGTAGATGAAAAAGAAGGCAGTATTATGAGAAGATCATGGCTGATCTATGAGATCTCCAAACTTCTACCGCAAGAGGACGTTGAAAAGTACTACCGTTTGTGAATATAGCTTGGAGTTTGCGATCCTATTCGCCAACCGCGTCGTTCCATCCAAGTCGCGCCTAGATTTCGCGTGCAACAAAAACAATTCCACCACAACAACGATTACCCCCATTCTCTCTATTTTACCCACCCGAGCATTGCGAATACTGGTCTTCCTCTAACGGAACCAGTGCAATCATGGCGGCAACTATGGAAGACCAACTCCTCCAACTCCTCTCCGATACGCAGCTCCCCGCCGAAGGCCCCCGCAAACAAGCCGAGCTACACCTGCAACAAGCAGAGAGCAATCCTGCCTTCCCGGGCTCCCTCTCCGCCATCGCATCGCACGCCTCTGTGAGCCCTGAGATCCGTCAGAGCGCGCTGCTCTTGCTCCGGACATTTGTCGAGAAGAATTGGAGCGGTGCGAGTGATGATGGGCCCGCCGTGCCAATTGACATTGCGGTGAAGGAGCAGTTGAGGCTGCAGATGTTGGAGCTGGCTACGAGTGGTGATGCGGATAGGAAGATCAAGGGCGCGGCGAGGTGAGACTTGCTTACTGTTCAAAGGGGGCTGTGCTAATGGGAACAGTTATGTCGTGAGCAAAATCGCCAATGTCGATTTCCCGGACCAGTGGCCTAATCTGCTACCAGCGCTGCTACATCTCATTCCCAATGCTACGGACGCACAATTACATGGCGCGTTGAAAGTATTGGCTGATCTTGTGGAGGACTCGCTGAGCGAGGATCAGTTCTTCTCCGTAGCGCGGGACATTGTGAATGTGGTCTACGATGTGGCTGTCAACGAGAGTAGGAAGTCTACCCTGCGCGTTGGCTGTCTCTGTGTTTAGGGGCACGTTCGATATTATGGATATGGTGAAGGATGAACATGGAAATGAAGTCAGAGGCTTTGCGGATGAGGCTATCAAGGCTTGGACCCCTTTCTTTATGAGCGTTTTGAAGAAAACACTACCTGCGAGACCGAAGGATGATGAGGGCTATGAAAGCGGGGTAAATGATGGGTCAGATACATGGAGGGGCGTTATTGCTCTGAAATTACAGGTGGTTAAGACTCTGATGAAGATCCGACAAGTTTTCCCACAATTATTACTCCCTCAGAGTCCTGCCCTCTTCAGTGCTTCCTGGGAGGAGTTGCTGCTGCTCAAAGATCATTACAAGAAAATGTACGTTGACAATGATGAGCAGGGGCGGCTGGAGGATGCAGATTTGTTGCCTTATACACTGGATTTCTTGGTTTTGGAGGAGTTGGATCTTCTTCAAATGTGTTTGCGAGCACCGCCGGTCCAAAAAGAACTCGAGGCAACCATTCAACAAAATGCCGGTGTTTCTTCCACTCCTTGGGTCATGGATGTCATGAAGTTGGCTGTAGACTATGCACAAATCGCGATGGAGGACGAAAACCTATGGGATATCGATGTTAACCTCTTTTTGGCCGAAGAAACTTCCGTCACAGCAAACTATACGGCTCGGACAGCCTGTGGTGACCTGCTCATTAAGCTGGGCGAGTGGCTTCATCAGGGGGCTCTCGAAGGCCTCCTTGCGTACTCCCAACAACTTTTTGCCTCAGAGACTGCTACGTGGAGAACTCGGGAAGCTGCTTTGTTCTTACTAACGCAGCTATTGACGGATTTCCTGGACATGGATAAGACGGTATCTCCAGAGATCACCACTGCGTTTTTGGGACTCATAGACTATGCTATCAACCGACCGGAGGAGCCACTTCTGAGAGCTCGTGGATACCTTGTCTCTGGCCTCCTCGTACAAAGCCTGCCTGAAGTCGCTCTCGGCTTACTTGACCGTACCATTGCAAGTGTCAACAGCGATGGAGCGGAAGTAGTCCAGGTCGCTTGTATTAAGACTTTGCAGGGCTTCATGACTCAGAGATTGTCAGTTGTACCGGCCGACCGACAAGTCACAATAATTGCTGCAATGTCAGATTTCCTATACGCCAAGGATCTTACCGAACTTGAAGATGCGGATGACCTCTTGATAACTTTAGTCGAGACACTGCGTGATGCTGTTGAGCTTGATCCTAGGATTACAATCGCTCCTGACAGCAGCGTACTCGACCTACTTTTCGTCCTTGCCAAACACGGGGCATCCAATTTCCAATTGACGATGCTGGTAAACGAGTCATTTGAAAATATTGTGGGTGAGCTGGCTACAAGTAGTGAAGCATACACCGCCTTATGTGCAAAGGTGCTCCCTTCACTAACAGGTGCCTTTGATGTGGGCGATATGACTGGAGATAATCCTCTAGTTGAGGTGAGTATTTCGACCATATGAATTGAAATTGTACTGACAAATCTAGCTTGCAACTGATTTGCTCGCAGTCCTGACGGAGAAAGGCTCCGAGCCGCTTCCACCAGGATATGTGGCGCACGTACTACCCAAGTTGAACCGCCTCCTAATGGCAACTACCGAAGGAGGCGTTTTACGACCGGGCGTTGAGGCTATCAAGTACATGCTCATGCATGACCACCAACAAGTTTTCGCATGGCAAGATGAAGCGAATAGATCCGGGCTAGAAGTATGCTTGATCATTATTGACAAGCTACTCGGGCCTAGTATTGAAGACAATGCTGCTTCTGAAGTCGGAGGTTTGGCCGCTGAACTCGTTGAAAAGGCGGGGCAAGAACGGCTTGGTCCGTACTTGGAGCAGCTACTGCGGGCTGTGGCTTCGAGACTTGCTAGTGCTGAAGCGGCTCCTTTCATCCAGTCTCTGATTCTAGTCTTCGCCAGACTCTCACTTGTTGGTGCCCACGATGTTGTGGAATTTTTGACTCGAGTTGAGATCAATGGCCAGAGTGGTCTACAAGTTGTTCTAAGCAAATGGCTCGAGCACTCTGTCAACTTCGCTGGATACGATGAAATCAGACAGAAGTAAGCCATTTCCATAACTCCTTCTGCATAGTCCTTTGCTAATAATCCCAAGTGTCATCGCTCTTTCCAAATTATACAGTCTGAACGACCACCGTGTAAACCAAACAATGGTTAAAGGTGACCTTATAATCCCCACTAGTGATAGAATTATGACTAGGTCACAGGCTAAATTAAGTAAGCTGAACACCCTGGATGGTCCTCCCAAGTTGTACTGACAACCTCAGACCCAGACCAATTCACCATCATTCCCGCGCCCCTCAAAATCATCAAGGTCCTCATCCAAGAACTCGAATCGGCATCTGGACTTCACAGCGCATCAAATGCACTTGCCGCAGCAGCAGCCGAATTCGCAGACGAGGAAGGCGAAAACGACGACTGGGAAGACGTACCCAGCACTCTTGATCTTGGCTTAGGAAGTACCAAAGCCGACCTGATGGCGTTCGGCGAGAGCTCTACAAATTTCATGCGCCAGAAAGACGACGAGACTCAAGCTTATCTGAGCGAGTTCTTCATTAAAGCCGGTGGTGAAAATGTTGCTGGCTTCAATGAGCTTTATGCGGCTCTATCTGATGAAGAGAAACGGAAATTGAACGAGCTGGCACAGCAAGTGCAACCTCAGCCTCAACAGTAGATAACAATTACATCTTTACATGCATTATTAGCGCGTTGTTCGTTGACCGAGGGGAAGAGAATTACGTACATAAGGATTGCGCGGAGGATAAAGTTTATGTTGTAGATTTTTCTTTCTCTTCTTCCTTTCACTCAGATCAGATGGCAGGCATAGCGATGTCCCTTTTATTCCCCTCTCGTTATATATTATGATATTCCTTGACGGCCGCTTTTGATGGGTTGATGATGTGCCGGGGGCTAGAAAGAGTTTAGTATCTACACTATTCATCGTCGCAAGAGCTGCGTGGTGAGTCGAAATTAAGATGAAGATGAATGGAAAAGCACGTATGAAACAAGCAGAAACCTGGCATGTGTCTGTCCTGTGATGAGCCTCGATGCTCAAGACCTTGGGTGCTCGTTCATTTTATTTATATCATACATGACAGCCATCGTCCCAAACATCAGACAGTAAACCACTTTACTCCTCGCTCCAAAGTTTCAAACCTTCAAAAATAAAAAATAAATAAAAAATTAAGAAAATTAAAAGGCAAATTAACTATCCCACCGTACGTCTCGTTCATCCCTACTCACACACCGCACCTCCCCAATCCAACGCCTCGCAATCCTAACATACATACAGCCTCTCACCACCAAGCTCTGGTATATCAACAATCGCGCGTAGTATAGTGGCTCAGTACGTATCCCATGTTCGTTTCATTCATCTATCGATCGATCCATCGAGGCCGTCGGTCTTGAAGACGAGAAGTGTGTGTGTGTGTGTGTGGAGCGGATCATGACGAGTACTCGAGGCTGGGTTTTTACCGGGGATAGCAAAAGGAAAAGGAAATGAAGTTGTAAGGAGTAAGGAGTAAGTTCACCTCACGCATACGTACCACTTTACTGCTACCGTGTTGTAGTCTTACTACAGGCCTGGGTTGGGTGGGGTGAATCAAGCCTTGCTGGTCCTGTAATGTGAACTGGATAATGCGGGAGAGGAATTACGGCACAGACAGGAAAGTGTTACTGTATGTATTACGGACTGACGGAAGGCAATCAAGAGAGATAGATAGATATAGACGGACTATATTGATCGACCATGCGTGCGTTCATCGGCGAGGATTACAAGGATGGGTAAAAGGGCTTGCTTGGTTGGGAGGAGGGGCAGAACTATGGTTCAGCGATAGCTTGAGCTGTTGAATAGTGTATGAGAAAGAGGTAACTTGTATTACCATTGAGGGTCTGATGAGTTCGCCATGGCAACGATAACGCAAAGAAGGACGAACTGGCAATTACGTTAGCTGGAAAGTATACATACGTTTCTAATGGGACGCTTTGCTTTCGCGCGTTGTTTTACGGACGGAGGGGGAGGGAAGCCTACTACTGTAGTACCTGTAGGGAATTTCCTTTCGTAGATCGTATAAGTAAGTTTAAGTCTCAAGACCATTGCATCATTTATCCAATTTAATGATATGATGGCATACGACACCCTTTTATAAGAGCTCGAAAAGGGAAAATTAAGAAGCACTTCCTAAATCCAAAACCTTACTTACGCCTTGAAGTCCAATTCCAAATCCCATTCCAATCTTAACGCTAGTCCGATATATCCTATCCCAAGCTAAGCCAATTCTAAATGCCAAATTCTTCATCGAATTCCGCGTCCGTGCCGAAGGCCAGTTTGTCGTCGCTGGAGGCTGGTCCCATGTCCATCGTTGTGCTGGAATCTGATTTCGAGGTGGCTGTGGCTGTGGCGGCTCTAGGTGCTGTGTTTGGGAAAAAGGGAGGGAGGATTAGTGGTGGGTTGGGTTTTGTAGAGAATAGGTAGGAAAATGATAGAGAATAGGCAGGAAAATGATAGAGGGAGGGAACGGGCATTGGCTAGGTGTAAGGAGAAATAAGTACTAACCTCCGCTTCTACTACCACTACCATTGCCCCTCCCAAGTCTAATACCAGATTTCGGCACAGCCGCATCAATGATCGCACTCGCCCACTTCTCCGCCACCAGCTTAACCTCCTCATCCGCCTCATCCGTCCCGATAATCGCCAGCTTGCCATTCAGATACGCGGTAACGATAGTCGTCTCCTGGATCTGCGTCTGCCACGCAGCCCGCAGCTTCTCCTGCAGCTCGATGGCATTCTGACCTATCTCGGCATCCTTCTTCGCGATCCTCACTCGGTCTCTCTGCACCTCTGCGTCGAATTCCGCTTCGTCTTTTTTGATGCGCTGCTGATGCTCCAGGTTCCTCCGTTCTGAATCCTTTCGCAGCGTCTCGGCTAGTTTCCGCTCTTCGGCTGCTGCTTTCCTGTCTTTCTCCGTCTGGGACTTCGCGTCGTCGAGCGCCTGGCGCAATTTATTAACCTCCTGGACGCGTTCGAAGTCTCGCTTCTTGGATTTGTTCGGCTGCTCATTCAGCGTCGCTCTCAGCTCGTCCAACTCTCTCTTCCATTCCCTTGCCTCTCCCTGCGCTGTCTCCCATGAGTACTTCAGCACGGCCTCGTTCTCACGCATGAGTTCGACTTGGCTCTGCAGGTCGGCCAGCTCGAGCTGGTTCGTCTTGAAGGCTTCCAGGTCACCGCGGTGTTTCATCTCCCACGTCGAGACACGGTCGGGCCACGTGGGCTTGACAACGCTGACGACCGTGGGTTTGGATTCGAGCTCGCGGGTTACGCTGGTACCGGGGTGTTCTTGGTGCGCGGGGATGACGAAGATGGTTTTTAGGGCATCGCCTTTTAAGCGGTAGTAACGCGTTGTTACGTCGAGAGCGACGATACCTCTGTTCATCTCTTTCCCGCCCCGGTTCTCCCAGATTGCTTCGCCGGTCAGGCCTAGCTGTTTCCAGTTTGCCATGACGGCCTCATCGGTCCGTTCCTTCTTCTCGAACTCGTCGTTCAGGAACTGGTATAGATCATTACCGGCATTCACGAGCACGAAGCGGTCTTGTGGGAACACCATATCTCGTGGTTGGCGTCCGTCGGGACCGAGTCTCGAAAGTGCTTGGTGGGGAACGATGGCTTCGCCGGCGATTACGTCCATGGCGTTTGCGTAGCAGCGCTCGAGATCGTGGGCCCGTTGGACTAGGCGTTGGATATAGAGAATCAACTGGCCCAGGAGTGTAGACTCTGCTGCTTCTCGATCTTCCTTCTCGAGTTTCGTGGGAAGGATGGAAAGTAGGCCACCTTTAGCGCTATACTCATGATCAAGCAGCTCGAGCGTTTCATTTGCGTGCGATATCAAGTTTTGGTGCGTCGCGTATGGAAGACTTGGCTGGTTAATGGGCGTTTTCTCTGCGTGGTGAAGAGGACAGACGTCCCAGAGCTTGATCCTGTCTGGCTTGCCGTCTTCTCCCGGAATGTTCTCTTCTTCCAGTACATTGAGAAGGGTGGTGAGAGGCATATTGTGGTGTGTTTGGTGCTCTGGCCTTTTGGGGCCCAAGTACGGTCTTGTAAGGTCATTGAGGAAATCATATGTCTCGCCATCGTTGAACGCAGGCATCCCCTCAACCCCAGAGTTCACGTTGTCGATGACTGCCGGGAACGTCGAAACCGTCAGTGACTTGATGAGCACGACGAGAGACTGCGCATGTTGTTTTAGCTGCAGGATTGTGGGTGCAATTCCGGGTGTGGAGAGGTAGCTGCAATTGACATGATTTAGAAGAGGAAGTAGCTTGCTGCCCGAGTCGTTCAGTGTGAAGATGGAGCGATAATTGCCCGCAAACGTATTGGCGGGAATGATTTTCTGGGGATTCCGACGCGGCGGTGGGTCTTGTATTGGTGGGATAAAGGTATTTGGGGTGGAGGTTTCGTCGGCATATCCATCCTCACCTCCATCGTCGCCATCCCCCATGTCCGTATCTGTATCTGCATTATCCAAGTGAACCTTCATAGACATGTTGGGGGATAAATCCACAGTCTCGTGGCCTTGAAGTCTTTGGACGAGGCAGTCTCTAGAGATAATTTGCCAGGAAACGAAGGCACGTTTGAAAATATGCAATGTCGCATTTCGTCGCTATTTAATAACAAGCAAGAATGGAATACTATGAATCGAGGAATGAAAAGCACGACTTCTAAAACATGATTACCAGTCGCTGAATAGTTATTGACATTTGGCGGCAGGAATTGGAATTATTCGCAAATATTGAAGTTGTGTGTGCTTCGAGCTCCTATAAACAAACTTACTGTTGAATTTACTACATCAGGGAAAATGGTCCTGGTATTCTCCTCGAACAAGCGTAGAATTGAGATATAGGGAATAAAAATCGGGATAAAATGCAATAGCTTTGATCAATAGATAGAATCTGCGCGACTGAAGCACTTGCTCTGGTATTAGAAACATACCAGGTATAGCAAACATGAGGCTTGACTCCCCTCTTCGCGGTTCTTGCAGTATGGATGCGATGCATCTTTGATTAAAAAGTCCAAGTGTGAGGTTAACCTTGGCTCATTTTTCTTGTACGAGTCAGGACATCTGTTAACGGTGTTAGTGTTAAGCATACAAATAGTGTACTTACGGTACGGCTTCTCCGCTCCTCCAAAGTTAAAGGTAACTTCAAGTCTTCAACACAAGGGTTCGAGCTTTACAGAGTACATGTTTTGATACAAATTGACAGAAGTTTGTCCTACCCTGTAGATGGTTGCATGCGCGCCTCTTCATTTTCAACGGATATGATTGGTCACGGGGAGTCCCAAATTTAAAGCAGCCCCTGTCTTCCTGAGTTCAGCTTGACAGGGGAAGGGACAGAAGGGGCAGCAGAAGCGACCATGATCTTCTTCAGTCTAGACTGGTCTGGTCTGCGCAGACTTCAAGTTGATAGATACAAGTACAGTGCTTCGATGTAACTTCCTGCATAGAGCTTCAGATGCTTGGCCTCCCAGTATTATTTATATCCTCACGTGTCATTTGGAAAGAGGTGGACACGCTGCCTCGGTTTCATGGCCTCACTCGATGACCTGTGATGTGTTTGTTGGATGCCTTTGATGCTGGCAGCCGTTGTTTTTGATAGTTTGTAATTCAGTAAATACGTGAGTGAAACATAGATAATTTACATATAAGGACCTATCTGCTGTACAGTACCTAGGTAAACACCTATTTATTTATTCGATTATTACTTCTTCGTATTTGTGGTGCCCTGCTTCCACGTCCACCTACCAAATCTTGATCTGAATCTCCATCACTTCTGCAGCATCGACGTCACCCTTCCATACATTCTGTCGTTTTGGCAGGGGGGAGGGGGGGGGTGTGTGCGGTGTGCATCTATTCCAGCCATTAATTTGCTCTTCTCCTGCACCAGCTGCAACTTCCCTGCTTCAAGCCAAGGAAGGGGTCCACTCCACTTCACGACACGGCTCTGGTCCGTGCCTCCCCAACCGCGTTAATACTTCACCTCTACTTGGGATTTATTTACACGGCGCAGCAGTCCCTTTTCTTAGAACTTTCCTTTCCTTCTCTTCTTGACTTTGGTCTTGAAACAATTCCGAGTTGTGAAGACACCACTCATTCATCATGACCGACTCTCCCACCACTAATGACCCCGAAACCTCTCTTTCGGGGTTGGTATCTACTCTCGTTCCCACACTTCTCCTTGCTCTGGTCTACGTCGCCATCTTCTTGATCTTGCGCAAATCTCACCGTCGATACTATGCTCCACGAACATATCTGGGCACGTTGCGTGAGCAGTACGTTAAGCAATCTAATAATTACAATCATTGATGCTAACATGACAACAGGGAGCGGTCGGTAGCTCTTCCCACCGGCCTTCTCAACTGGATTGGTACTTTCTGGAAGATCCCCGATACTTATGCTCTCCAACATCAATCTCTCGATGCGTACCTCTTCCTCCGCTTCCTACGTATGACCGTCGTTATCATGTTTGTTGGCGCTTGCATCACATGGCCTGTGCTGTTCCCAGTTAACATTACTGGTGGAGGTGATGGCGGTCAACTCAACATGCTTTCAATGAGTCACGTCTCCAAGGACAAGTCAGGTGGAAAGTATCGATACTTTGCGCACGCTGGCTGTGCAATAATCTTCTTTGGATTCGTTCTAGTACTGGTCGCGCGAGAAAGCATTTTCTACATCAACTTACGCCAAGCTTTCCTCCTATCACCTGTATACGCCAATCGCATCTCTTCCCGATCTGTTCTCTTCACCTCTGTACCCAAGGACTATCTTCATGAAGGGAAGCTCCGAAAGGTCTTTGGCAGTGCTGTCCGAAATATCTGGATCACTAGAGATACTGAAAAGGTCGATGAGTTGGTTGAAGAGCGTGACAAAGTGGCTTACAGATTGGAGGCTGCTGAAGTGAAGCTCATTAAGCTGGCAAATGGCGAGAGATTGAAGGCTATCAAAAAAGGTGCCCTTGATCCCGAAGAAGAACGAATTGAACAGGGCGACGGCGGATCAGGAGGTCTGGCTGCTAGATGGGTACCAAACAAGAAGCGCCCAACTCACAGAATTGGAAAATTTGGCTTGATTGGGAAAAAGGTCGACACAATCAACTGGGCCCGCACTCAATTGGAGACGCTTATACCCGAAACTGAAGCCGCTCAGATGAGCTATCGAGCAGGCGAGACTAAAGCCACTGGGAGCGTTTTCATCGAATTCGCTCATCAATCCGATGCACAATCCGTTTTCCAGACTCTGTCCCATCATCAAGCTCTTCATAGTAAGTTGAAAGCTCCATTTAGTATGGGATATTTGGAAGCTAACTTGAGTAGTGTCTCCTCGATATATCGGTGTCAATCCGAATGAAGTTGTCTGGAAATCATTAAAGATTTCTTGGTGGCAACGAGTCATTCGCAACATTGTAGTTCTGTCATTCATCACCGCGCTCATTGTCTTCTGGGCTATTCCCGTCGCTGCCGTTGGTCTCATCTCGAATATCAATTACCTCGAAAGCTATTCTTGGCTTCATTGGTTGACTGCAATTCCTAGTGTTATCATGGGAGTCGTGACAGGTCTTCTGCCTTCAGTTGCTCTGTCCATCCTCATGTCTCTTGTTCCTGTCATCATGAGATGTAAGTTGTTAATATCTCAGATCCAATGGACCTTTCACATCACAGTTGCTGACATGAAACAGTGTGTGCTAAACAGGCTGGTGAACCAAGTCTTGCCCGTGTCGAGCTTTTCACTCAGAACGCATACTTCGCCTTCCAGGTCATTCAAGTTTTCCTCGTCGTCACAGTCGCCTCATCAGCTTCTGCGCTCATTAAGAGTATCAGCAAGAACCCCGGTAGCACACCATCTCTCCTTGCTGAGCGCATCCCAAGAGCTTCCAACTTCTATATCAACTACTTTATCGTACAGGGTTTGACAATTGCGTCTGGGATTCTGTCCCAGGTTGTTGGATTTATCATGTTCAGTATCCTCTACAAGTATTTGGCTGGTACACCAAGGAAAATGTATCAAAAGTGGGCAAACCTAAGCGCCATCTCTTGGGGAAGCTCTCTACCTGTATTCACCAACATTGCCGTCATTGGTAAGTATTCTTTAATCCTCACTATGTACCAACCAATCTAATACTCTCAGGTCTGGTCTACTCGTGCATTGCACCACTCGTCCTCGGCTTCGCAACCATCGGAATGTTCCTCTTCTACCTCGCCTTCCGCTACAACATCCTCTTCGTAACTGACAGTCAAATCGACACCAAAGGCCTCATATACCCACGCGCGCTCCAACAACTCCTCACTGGCATCTATATCGCCGAAGTCTGCATGATCGGCCTCTTTGGCGTCAACGAAACTCCCGGTCCACTTGTTCTCATGGTCGCCATGCTAATCTTCACAGCCCTCTTCCACATCTCCCTGAACTCCGCGCTAGACCCCCTCCTCTATAGCCTGCCTAAATCTCTCGAAGCAGAAGAAGAGTCGCTCCGCGGGCTCATGGAAGGAGGCGGTCTGGAAGAGGAGAAGAATGCCAACGTCTCTTCCACCGCTACACTTAAGAAGCCAAATTTCATCTCCAAATTCTTCAAGCCGCATATCTACTCCGACTACGCTACCCTACGCCAACTCGTCCCGCATGGGTTGTTGGATGCGGATAATATGTACGAGGACTCCGTTGCTGAGAACGCTTATTTCCCACCATCGGTTACTAGCGAGACACCGCTGTTGTGGATCCCGAGGGATGCGGGTGGAGTTAGTGCACAAGAGGTTGCGCATACTGGGAAGGTTATTCCGATTACGGATGAAGGGTGTGAGTTTAATGAGAAGAATAAGTTGGTTTGGGATGCCGAAGGGGCGAGACCGCCGTTGTGGAAAGAGAAGGTCTATTATTGATCGCTTCATTCAATCTTAATGGGATGGGAAAACTGGGTTGGGATGCCTCTATGGGAATGAGAATAATGCGGATGGATGGATGGATGGATATACCAACGACTTCCTTTTTCTGTTATGGAGAGATTTCATGAGGGTCCTGATTCTGAGGCGTATGAGCGAGCTGCAAGGACGTATTTCCTTTTTGTTTTGAGTCTTAAGCGTATGTAGACAGATACCCAAACCGCTGCAGTTTTCTATATAATGAAATCACAAATGGAGTTCAAATCCAAGCAGAACTTTAAGCGTTTATGAGTGACTCTCTGTCCCCCGCTGAGTAGCAATTCCATTATTGGAGGGTAGTTTTGTATCAGAGGAGACTACGAGAGTCCTCGTTCGTAACCGGTTTTATCTTTCAGCAAATGACTAAAACCGCACCCATAAAATGGTTTACACTAGTCGCTCAAATAGGTATATCCTTAGTCAAGCTGTAGAATCCAAAGTTTCGAAATCCAGCTTATTTTCCAACCTCACTCATCCTCCTGTACTGTACTGTATCGCCAACGAGCAGCAAAATCCTTCCTTGCATTGATTGCTCTGTAAGCATCACATGCTGCTTCTATGAGGTCGAGATGGAGATTTTTATGATATAAGCTTGTTTTGATGATGATAAGTAGGTAGGTAGGTAGGTAGGTAGGTAGTGTAGTATAGTGTGGTGTAGTCTCTATACTATTTAATTTTAGTAGGTATTTGTTGATATGCTTACGGAATAAGGTACTTAGGTGCCGTTATGGATTTAGGAGGTTTAGTTTAGAATAGATGGAGATGCAGATGCGTAAAGGGGTGAAAAAAGAGAGCTGGGGAATTGAGTGGAGGGATTGTTGATCTTGGAGTATGGTAGGCGTTGTAGCGTGATTATCTCTAAGCCGTGTGCCCTTTTAAGGGGGTCGCTATACCTATGAATCTAGAGGCCGAGAGGGGAGAGTGAGGTAGGTCTCTGTGATGAGGATGCGGTCTTAGTGATAAACAACTTTATGGGATGGGTGTGGTATTAGTCAATTGACGTTTATCTTTCCACATGTTCGATTGAGGAGTATGATATAATACACAAACAAAGAAAATCTACAAATCCCATTCTATCCCTTCCTTTCTCTTCTCTTACGACTTGACTCTTCACGGCGGTTTCGAACTCCCTTCCTCCCTATTACTCGATCCTCCTCCTCCTCCTCCTCC